CGAATGATAACAATATTGTGACATGGAAACAATAGCGGGCTCGCTATACCTTTCCAGGGCAAAATATAATATTACACACACACACACACACACACACATACACGCGCGCAGAATATATTATATAGTAGTATTTTAATTTATAGATTAATTAAGATAAAATTATACCCTAAAAATTTACTTTTTAAAGAAAAGATAAAAAAGAGCGTTAAGTTTATGCATAATTGTATTCGTTTTTAATCTTTTTTTTTTCAAAAGGTAAGTTTTTAGAGATTATAGAGTTTACCAGCGAATTTTGTAGTTAAAATTCTAGAATTTCGATATATCATATTATAATAATTAGAACCGTGATTGCAATTTCTCACAAATATTTGATCTATTCCGACCAACATTTTCGCATTCCGGAAGTAAGCACTTTGCACTACTTCCTGTTATCCATAAGCACGCAGACTAAAGGAAAGTCATTGAACGCAGGATGGAACTACTGTCGATTAGCTTACTACATTGTATCCGTTTGTTTAGCAAATGGGAAACGAGCATGTTCGCACCGTAATAAAATTAGCAATTCTTTTTCCTCTGGCTCTAAAAGACCTTCAATATAGTAATATCATAAATTTCCGCCTATTCATCGTTCGAAATGTATCGAATAATTTTAATATAGGCAATAAAGATGAATCTCGCGTATAAGATTTGATCTATGAGTCTAGAAATTTTTAGGCAACATAAAATTTGCCTATGAGAAAAAATTTCCAAGAAAAATTTGTATATCGTTAACAGTAAATAAACTGCTCTGTGACAATATAACTGAAATTAAATGAGAAAGAAAAAGAGGCAGAGAAAAGGGGAGAATTAATTAATACTGCAAGAAATAAAATAATTTTATTAATAAAAATTTTGTAATTGTTGTATGTTATATATTATAATAGTAGTCCTTTTTTTAATTTTTTGACAATAATATATGTATATATTCAATATTCATACATTTACATATTTTATTTTTTGAAATTTAATCTAGACATGTGTATATCCGATTTAAATTTAGTAATATCTATAATTTCGTGAAAAAAAACACATAGGATAGAGTTTAATTCTTGACGTGATTTCAATAAAAATCGCAATCTATCTATCGCAATTACTTGTATTTTTTGTTCTATTTAAATACCCCTCTATATCATATACAGGATATGATATTGTAATGCACAAGTTATATACATTTGGAGATTGTTTTACGAGGTAATATTTTCTTTTTTAATATTATGTGGCGTGGAAAGCGGATAGATAAGAGTTCGATACGGATATCGATGACCGTCGATCTCGAGAACCACTTTCCATTGCTTAATCCGAAACGCTGTTCACAATCTGTCTATTCTAATCCGAGAAGAAAGTGTTCGAATACGATACGTATGCGGCGATAAAAAAACTGACTTGACTTTATCTCACTCTCGATTTCCTCGTCGAGATGGTAGATGAAATCGCGCTCTTTGCGCATTTGCTCCTTCGACGAAGGAAAGCGAAGAATTATTTTTCGCAATCGGAATGCCCTCCTCTCGCTTTTCTTCCTCTCTTCTCGGTTGTACGTAATACGATAAAACCAGTTGCCCTTTACTTGACTTCGTCTTCAGTTCTCCGAGCGTAACGTTGACATTTATAACCCGCAATTACTCTCCGTGTTAATTAATGCCGCGCGGAATGATGACCGCGGCAGTACATTCGCTTTTGCTCGTCCAACGAAACATACAATAAAGCAAATTAGACATTATCAGGAATCCAGACAATGACCCAAATTTATTTTTTTTTTGTGGTCGAGCGAAAGTAACATTTCTTCAGAATTTTTATTTTAATGCATTTGGGATAAATTTAATATCTCACTTTCTCATAATGATTGCCAGATTGTCTTTTTTGTGAAATGCATTTTAGCTCGCTTCGCCTCTTATCTACAAACCGCAGAATCTAATTTCACCAAACCGAGTAAGGATCGAATTAACTAAATTTAACGTTTATTTGTTTAAATATAAATTTTTATATGCATAATTCAAGATAATCTTATCTTTTTTTTTCTTTTTCCTTCTTATAATTGTTGAATCGATAGTTTCGTAAAGCAGATATATTTTTTAAATTTTAGATCGAAGTAGTAATAAGATAAATAAAATGTTATATTGATACTGCGAGCGATGACGCAAACTCTGCGAGGCCAAATAAAGACTAATGTATTATGTACATGAATTCTGTCTTTATATCTTTATATTAATTTTGATTAGTCATCTTTTTCAAATAATTAATCGTTCCTTTTCATTTTTCTTCTTACAGTTATCGCGTGTAGTGTTGGAATTAGCTTTTTATAAGATTATAACACGCTTCACGATACATTCTAATTTATACGAAATTTTAAAATCTGATATGGTCAACAAGCAATAATGAATCAAATTAGGTGTCAACACAATAAGAACACAAATAATAGCCCAAATTTATTCTATTGTTTGGCAGGTTTCTAGATGAAAGCATTTCTTTTTTTTGTGAGCTAATTATATTCTAGCTTTTTAGATCTTTGCAATATAACAATATATATATTTTTATTAAATTTTATAAATTATAGAAATAGTTATTAAAATTATTTTTTTGAGTCAAAAAGCTTTGTATAGTATTTATAATGATTAATAATTTTGCATGATTATTAATTTTAATTTTATATATATTTATATAATGGACGCAAATTTTTACTTGTAATTGGTCGCTGACTACTTGATATTTCACATGTCTAATAATAATAATTATAATTATATAAGATTAATTTTAATTACTACAAAATTAAAATTTACATAATTTAAAGATTTCATGATTTTATGGTTACTATTATTTGAATCTCTTAATTGTAAAAAATGTGACAAAAATTAATATAAAATTTTCTTTGAAACAATATAAAAGATTTTTTCACAGAGAAGAAATAGTAACAGCTGAAAATTATATATCGTTAATTGTATGTCATTAGTCTTCTTTTAACATCGCAAAACAAATTAATAAGAATAATGATATGAAGATGTGGGCATGGTATGCTTGAATGTTATCTTATGATTACTTAATGACAACATAAATAACATTCAATTAAAAATATTCATAAATAAGCGGCACAATGAATATCTTACTATAGCGTAGCATTGTCTGTGGCATTCTATGGCGTGTGAATCTCGATTCTCGTGGTATATAGAGTGGTATAGAGTAACCTATGAAATTACTTATTATCTATACACGAAGGTCGAATATATTGCTTGGATGGAAAGTTTTATTTCTTATTAAAACAATAAGACACACTTTTTTTTGTTCCGTATAACTTCATTGCTTTTACTCTCATAGATTTCTCCATCCAGCAAGTTATTCTCTTTGATTTGTGGCCTTAATTCTTCCGTACAATTGAATTTTAGAAAGGATATGCGTTGTAGAAAGTAAACTGTTTAGGACGAAAAAGAAACTATTTTAATTACTTAGAGATATTGCTTTTAGAAAAATTATATTATCAAATTATATAAATATATTCTATAAATATATTCTCTGGAAAAAAAATAATTAATTTCTTTGATATTATAATTTTGCCGCAATTATTTTTATTAAAATAATTTTTTATGTTTTAATTTTTACATATTTTACGTATCTTGTTACATAGTTCATATATCGAATTAAACACTAAATTAAATAGTGAATATTTTGAGCATTGATAAATGTTCATATGCTGCGTTTAAATTACGAAAGATCAAAATACACATCACACATTTTATAATTTAAAATTAATTTGCATAATTAGTTGTCATGCATATCATTATTCTTTAAACGTTTCGTATAACGATTTATTTTTAATGATTGTATTTTTTCTAATTTTGCCTTTTAGCTACACACATAAAATAGTCATCGTAATATTAACAAGTTTATTTATAGCATTGCTTTCATAAATATGGATTAAAGTTGACTGAAATTTAGCTACTTTACGATTCTTCCTTATCTTTACATATAAAAAAGAATACAGGATTATCTCACTTATGTATTAATTAACTTTAACTAGTGTTTTAAAATTTTTCAGAGCGTCAAAAAATGCAATTATGTTACTTTGCGTTTCATGTGTGCGACTTTTCAAAATGAAATTTTCAATAATAATGACTCGAATCTTGAAATTTTCCACCAGTTGCCGTGACTTACAAATTTTTTTAAAGGTCTAGTATTTAATTAGAAAAGTTTTGAATCTCTATTTATCTCTATCTTTCAAACCGTTAATGTTTTTTTTCTTTTCCGTGACGAGAAATTAATTCTTTTACATGATTTTATTCACAGATACGCTATACTCTCTATGTTTGAAGCTTTTGGCGCGAATCCGTCAGTATTATAATCCGTCAGCGTTAATAATGAATGCAACTAGCAACTAAACTTTCCTTCCGGGATCGACGTCGTTGCACTTGCACGCTACTTCAACATCGTACGCTCTCTCATTTCTTCGTGCAGTTTTCGTTTTCAGTTTCATGCACGCGTGAATTCATCGCGAAGGTTAGTTTCGATTTTTTATCTTCGCATTTAGCCCCCATCGGGTCTGATAAAATTATATAACCGAGATTTTCTTATCGCGTTATACATGTGAACAAAATATCTTTTTTTCGTTTGCTTTCATACGTGAACACAACTCTCATTGTTGCAAATGTATTATCGGGTGGAATATCAAATGGAGTATTTCAATACCATTCTCCATACATTAAATATTAATTATATACATCGATGAGGAAAATAATTTCAATCAATTATAATTGGGAGCAGGTATATTTGTTTTTGCAATCATTTTAATAAATTTTTTAAAAATATAAACTTCGAAAGAGGGAAATGATAAAGGAAAGTATAAATACATGGACAAACGTCATAAAGCGAGACGTGATTTTAAGATATTCGCGACATCGCAGCGAGATATTTACTATAAAGCGCTAATTATTTTCATTACGTTCTCATTTACGAGACGATGATATTTTCTGTTTCAGCGATGTGACGCAATCAGTCAGGAATATTTTTATGCAAAATGACTCGCGCCCTTGTCCTTCTCTGCATGGCCATCATTCTACCTCTCTTACGATGCCACAAGGTAAGATCGCAGTCAAGACGCCCAAGGACATACTGTTATCCTATATGCAATTACTTCTTTTAAGACAAAGAGAGCATGTCTGCGCGTCATGCACACGGAGGTAATTGTACTAAATTAAAACAATCACACAAAATGCGATAACGACTCTAATTATTAATCGTCGCTAAAACAAGGAAAACTCACAATACGCAAAGCAGTGTTTCTATTTATTTAAGTAAAATCTTTTTCTTTGCTTTTTATTTGCATTTTAATATGTCAATTCTATACAACATTATTTAAAATGTTTTCTGCTTAAAAGATACATTTCACATTTCTTTATACAAACTTTAATTTTATAAATAAATAAATATATATATATATATAAACTTTAATTTACATATATATTTACACTTGCATTTTAACGTTCGAATATTATTTAGTGCGTTATGACGTGCAAGGAATTAATTAGCTTGAAGCTCGGTAATATGGGTGAGGATAATTAATAATGCATCATAATTCCACGGATTGCTCGCAGTAAACGTCGCTTGGGTGCGCCAAGTATTTACGAGAAAATTACAATCGCGCTTGTAACAATTTGTCATAATTTAATCCGCTTCTTATATGAAATTTTTTTTCAATTATCGAATAAGAAAAATCATATTTACAAATGTACATATTTTTTCCAATTATTTATTCAGTATGTCATAAAGAAGTTATTGCGTATATAAATATCATTTAAATGGAAGATACAGCAAATGATATATTTAATTGTAAATTTAAAGTCTGCTTGTTTGTTTATTTTGACATATCAGTTTATATTATTTTTGATTTGTTATTTAAATGAATTTCTTTCTTAAAAAGATCGGCGATACGATAAATATAAACACGTATTTTTACGCTCGTAAAAATGATACTTGTTAACAAGAGATATAAACAGGATTACGCTATGTATCAATGATTGCCTTGTAATTAAGAAAGCGCGTGAAAAATGAAAGGATTACTATTAATGGCACGTTTACGATTCAACACGCGTTTACGATTCATCTTGTCGTAGATAATCATCACGAACGTGGTCAACGGCCGGTTCTTCTCTAACTTACGTAAGAATTTGCGCACAAAATTACAATAAAATCATCGAACCGTTCAATGTTATTTCGCCTTGCTTTCAATTTTTTTCGAGAAATTTAGACGCGAATAATAATTGTGCGATTTTGATAATAATATCACGCGACTTATGCGAGATAACAATTAACAAGCAGGAAAGTCAAGTAGAGAAAAATCGAGAAAACTAATCAGAATTGAAGCAAGATGTCGGTGAAAATATTATAAAATTGGCAAGTTTTAATTAATTATTTGTAGAATTTGATTAAACTTTTGTAAAAAAATTTATAATCGAGTATGGCATTTAATACCTATTAAAACATTAAATTATGTATTATTGATAAACAACAATTACAGTATTTTTACTCGAATATCTGATATAGCGTATCTCATATCATTATTTCACATTGGCATCTCTATCAAGATATATATGTTTTTTTATACTAGATTGCAATCAATAAAGTATGAAATACGATATAAAGAAAAATAAATCAAAAGTAACATAACAGTTTTGATAAATTGTATGTTGTAAAGTATGTGTTATAATTCAATATAAAATATATGCCAACTCATTGAAGTGCTTATCCAAATAATAAAATATATTTAATTATTTAGTATATATTTTTTATTTAATTATTATTATATTTATGCCGAGCATATATATGAATAAAAATATTAGAATACTTTATGATTCGTGAGAACTTGTTTAGTCATCGATAAAACGCGAAAGATGGAAAAAGATCCTGATACACTAAACACTATAATTGAACAAAAAATCTTCACGCTTCTGATCGAGTCATCGTGGGTAGATGTTGCAAAGTCGGTCATCGACTGCTCGCCGACTTATGTAAATCTCTCGTTGTTAGGAAATTATACAAATAATTACTTTCTTAAAGAGTTTCCAGAGAGTGAAACGTTACTTCCGGTAGCCGTTCCACGTGATTTATACGATTTCGAGATGTATTTGTTGGCCGGGAAAGAACCGAAAGCGAAATCGGAACGCATTCCTAGATCCGAGAGAGTAGTCCACTTTTCACACAAAAGGTGGGACAATAGCGGCGTTTCTATCGATCGACGATTATGCGCTCGTAGATGCGTGAAATGTATTATGTGAAATTGAAATGAGCACCGTTACGGTTAACGAGTATTACAAAATTAATTGCTGAGACTAAGAAGCCATCGTCGTCGTGAGAAATTCTCGGTTACCTGGCTTGTGGGATTTGACACGGAATCATTATATGTGATTCAAGACAAATGCATGGAAAGCAAAAATCATTGTACCGAGTAAAAAGTTAATTTAAATGAAATTAAAATTCCACTTAAAATTCCATTTAAAAGAAATTAAAATTCCATAAAAATTAAAATTAATTTTACCCAAGAGTTACGTATTTGATAAAAATGTGATATTTAATTGTGACTACTTTTTAAGTGGGAAGGGATTTTTCGACATTTTCGAGGAAACAAATAGTTTGTTAAGAAATTATCGTTTAAATCTATCGTTTGTACGAGTGCAAATCGATCAATTCTCGATTGCTCGGGCACTCTAGTGAAGTAATGAGCGAAAGTGATCGACCTTAGAAGCCCCAGAGCCCCTTTGAGCGTTTCGCTGCAGCTCGATTTCTGCGACACCACGTGTAAGTAAATGCTGCTAAATGGTAGAAGAAGACCTTGAAATGCGATTGGAAAACAGAATATGCGCGCGTATCCATTGATTACAGAACTATTGCTATAAAACCGGACGAGCCGTAATTCTGAGAACACTTGAAAAATCGTCGCCTTAGTTTGGACAAAGTCTATCGACAACGTTTGTAAAATCGCAAGCATAAGTTGAAATGACTACATTAAATAAAATTTGCATATATTAACGCACGGTTAATGTAATTACTATTAAACTAAACAATTGTGTTAATTATCTATACTACATTAAAATATAAAATTATTATTTGAATTTAGAAGCTTGAGCTTTATTTTATCTCATTCTATTAGTATAAGCAATATTAATATATCATTATTATACAATGCACATTAAATTAAAAATTTATTACTGTGCAATTGTTAGATTTGTCGTTATTTAACAAATTACTCGACTTAATAGCATGTATTGTGAAATATAAAATTTCAGTTGTGGATTAATCTACAAGTAATTCCACGCGCGCTTGTACTACCGTCTGTGATGTAACTTTTTACGACACAAAACGTGATGTCTTTTGCCACCGGCATTACCATTCTCGGTTAGATTCTACTACGTTGCTCATTTTATCTCGGTTATTCCCACAATATTGATAAAATAATACGATCGAAAAAGTATCATTTCGACCGTGTTGTCTCGTAAAACATGAAATTAAAGTCACGAATTGTCAAGATGCGTAAGGGAAAAAAGCAACGAAATGACATAATGACAAATAATGACGAAATTGCGAATCCCGGAAGTTGGATTCGCTTGCGAGATGTCTCGCGCAAACTCTTTCTCTACATTCTAGTCGCGTTTCCTCATTCGAATAATTACGGTGCTTCAGTAAATTTCTTTCAATTTATTTTATTTTACTTTATGCATTATATATATATATATATATGCATATTCTACATTTTTACATTTGATCTGTTACACATATATACGTTTATATTTTGAGAAATTAAGGCCCACACTTTGCAATCGATCTGTATCTCACTTGCCATATCGTACATCACGGATTTATTCACGAATCGATTAGCAAAACGTGCGATATTACGATGATCATAGTCTTGATTATGTAAAAATATTGCGACACCCGTGTTCACCTAAATTTATTTGTGTTTCAGATCCACGAGTATATGACAAGGGAAGAGATGCTATCGGTGTTTTACACGGGACACGAGTCCGGTAATAACAGCAAAAAATAGAGTAACTCGTATGGCGAGCACGGTTATCTTTTAACGTCCCGTTTCTTCCGGCTACGCGATATAATAAAGAAAAAATGATTAAAATATCAGGTCATCGACTAATGCGATTCTAACACGAATAATGAGGATGCGTCAAGGATAATCTTTATTTGAAATAATTTCCTATGCGCGATATTTCTCGTTATTAGAGAAAAATGTATGCACAGTTATTTGCTCCTTGAAATTTGTATTTCAGCTTTCCTTGATTAAAAAATGTCGAGCAGGTCATCATTTTTCATAGAATTAAATAAATGAATTAGAATTTTGTTAAAATAAAATCTACGCCGAGTTTAATCGTGAATAAATTTTCTCCGAGACTTTTTCTATATGAAAAATTTCTTCCGTATATTTGACGCATGCCAAAGAAAAAATCAAATATTAGAAACACAAATATTTTTCGACATTCAATAACGGGTCATTAAACTTAAATTCTCCGTCATAAATCATTCTTGATGAATATTTATCGATTCTGTCACTTGTATGAAAATATTGGAGAATCGTCGTAATAACTTTAAAACAAGTCTCCTGTCATCAGCCTGTCAAGCCTTAAATGACTATGAATTTTCTAACGACAGTGTTATGAGGAATCGTGAAAAGAGTCATTAATTTTAAAATCCCCCAATAACTTGCAAACACTGATATCAACAATGTACCAACTATACGAAATATGTTTACAAGGAGTATCTTCAGCATCAACGAGTATTTAAATAGAAGGAATTTTTGAACATTTCTCTCTTCGGAATGAATATATATAAATAAAATATATATGCGTTTTATAAATATTCCTAAAATCGTAGTGCCGCCGTACGAAGTCGTGCCTGTGTTGCATACGGTGCACAAGAGGAGCGTGGACGCGAAACCACAGATTCATCTGAAGGCCTTCGGCAAAGATATCAGCCTTTCGTTAAAGCCCACGAAAGGATTGCTGACGGCCAACAACCTGCCAATGTGGACCGTCACCAGAAACACGTCGCAACCCGATGGCCTTCATTACGAAAGGGTAAAGGATGTAAGTGATCTCTTTTAATTATCGAGATATCTTACAACCTTTTCAAACTTAAAGCATCCTTTTTTATATTAGCAGTTATCAGTCTAGAATATCCGAAAAGGTAGTTATAAGAGATGTAAAACTAATTGTCATTTTTGAAATTTTTGATTTTTTTGTTACAAAATGTTTTTAATAATAAAAAAATATAATTTTTTTATTATTAAAAACATTTAGCAGAGAGTTATGTAATTGTTTAATTATTTAATTATTTAATCTTATATATTTAATTATTATCTCTAAACCGAATTTTTCCCTAATTGTTGCTCTTATTTTAGGTTGATGTAGATATCGGTGACATCTATCAAGACACGGAGAACATGGCTTCCATTCTACTACACCGAGACACGAATGGGAAAGTGCGCGTTGTAAGTGGCCATTCTTTCTTAATGTCCCTTTCGTCACCACCCCATTATTACGAGTCGTCTTTCGTCAATCCGACACGACTCGCTTAGGGTCTGTGTTATAATTATAGCAATATCGCAATTCGTTCTATATCACATAGTTGTAATATTTTTTAAAACAGATAAATAGAGTAGAGCTATATATAAAGTAATTATTAATACTGATATCAATTACTGATACTATCGATGAAAAATTCACGATGGAAATTTATCAGATTTAGTGATTGATTAAAATTTATCAGATTTATTGAATCTTTTTTTTGTAGGCAAGTTAAATAGCATAAAACATAATTTGTTTAAGAGAACAGATTACCTCTTAATGCTTAACTTGTTAATTTCTCTATTAAATATATCGAATATATCGAATATCGCAAAGATTTATTATAAGTAATTAAAATGTTGAGATGCGAGTTTATCTCACTGTTGCCAAACATTCGTAAATAAAATTTCTAGAATGCCGTCTCATCGAGTATAATTGTCGTGATTTATGATAATTATATTTAATTATATTTTATGGATAATAATACATAATCTAGCAATTTTTCTTTCCTCATAAAATAATCGTAAACTGCTCTATCATAATGATGAAAGCATATTTAGTAAGCAATTTCGCAATTAATAAACAATCATATTTTTTTCTTAAATCTGAGATATATATTTCTGTGGAAATAAAATGTCAATAGACATTTTTTTTATTATTATAAATGATCAGAAAATCTCTCTTTTTGCGAATTAAGCTTGATAACTTTTCCTTTTTATTCGACTCTTCAAAGAAACTTATGTCTCAATCACAGTTATTGATATTTGATATTGAAAACTAAAAGATTACGTAGCTTAGGCTTTTGCATAATCATGAATATTATCGTCGTACGTATAATCGCGACGTTTTATACAAAGTGTGCAGCGAGGCATACAAGGCGAGGTTACTTAAATACCGCGATTTTGACATTTCCCCTTTGCGCTCGCAACCGGCGTTTTCTTCTCGGAATAAAGTCCAACATGAAGAAGATATATGGTGTGTCCGCGAGATACAAGTCAATAAACTTCTCCTCGCATTTATCTCCTACCTTTCGCTGCGCTCTGCAATTTTGAGAGAGAAAGAAGGGAAAGACGTTGTTTCCAATAATTCCGCGTTCAAACGAGCGTGACTGATTTCTCTTACAAAGTTCCTATTAATTGCCGATCTTATGAGGAAGCGAGACTGCATGCGATATTTTCTTCATATTTGCATTTAACACATACGTAAATTCGACGATACAAAATCTGCTTTACGTTCTGCCAGCAAATATCCCAATGATTCACATAATCGAGAAGTTTTCGAAGCTCTGAAAGTTTCGAAAGTTATGTACGAATTTGCATTATATTCAAAACGAGAATAAAAATTTGATCGCAATAATTTAATTGATGATTCTTAATTACCGTGTTGAAGCCTCGAGATTTCATGCAGAAATGATCTTAAACGTTAAGAAATCATGAATTGCCAATTCTTGAATATTCGCATATGTTAAAAATCGGAAAAAGATCGTTATATACGATCTCTAAATTACATTGTTACGCGCGAGATCATTACGTTGCGATACAAATGTGAGTAATATACTTGGTATGCACATGCGGGGGTGAACGCACGAATATATTATAATTACAATTATGCGCGTTATACCTTACAAGAGTCGTGAAAGTTAATCGTTTAAAGTACGAAAGAACTTTTCTCTCATTCGTCCCACCTGCATAAGGATTTGCGACGATAGGATCAATCTCGCAACTCAATGGCGGTTTGTGCGTGGGAGTTTCGATGAAATTTTAATGAAGGCGAAACCCCATAATGTCGTCCAAACGGACTTATACGTAATATCGTTTGGTTACATAATAAGCCATATAAAAGCGTTGTTCTAAATGACCCCTCGTGGTGTCCTGACCTTTCGCTTTCACTCCCCCTCTCTCGAAATCTGACCAATGCACCTCTCAGATTGAACGGCCGATCGTGTCCGGATCGGGAATATCGCGCTCGCGAAATAATTCGCCTCGCTATAAAACGTTTATTCAAAACCCATGAAGGAAACGCTCGAGTTAACGCACCTCAACTAATGCAGCATGATTCATACATTCTAATATTTCTGCAGTTGAAGCATTACGTAATTGGAAACATGCAAAGAGAGACATACAAATCTGCCAATAAGATAATTTTGGATGTAACGTTATATATTACATTTTTATGTGTCGAAAAATGTTTCGATGATTAAACGCAGTTATTTTAATTATTTCGAAATTAAGAAGCGCAATTTAATCATATTTAATTTAATATTTTATGTAAACTATATTTTTTTTAATTTTTCTTTTGTTATTGTCTTTATCAGGACGGAACCATCGGTTCAGAATTAGTTATCCGACCACTGCCAGAACGAGTTCTACAGGAAGTAGTGAACGAGGCACCAGCCCTTCACGAACCCGAATTACTGCCCAATGTAACTAGAAACGAAAATTTAAAACGCACGAGTCATCATATTGTTTTCAAAAAAATCAGTCGACCTGTCGGCGACGAGTATAACGATTTTTGTGAGTACATTATATGTTATCGAAATTCTTACATCGATTTCATTTGTGAATTTTATGAAAAATATATAAATTAATCTTTACATTAGATTTAATATTGAAAAAAGATATTGTAAAATTACAAATATAAGCGCAAATGTTTCGTAGCGTTTATGGAGCCGGATCATTTAGCCAAGAAGTATAGGAGCAAACGTTCGATCAATAATAGATCAAGGCGCGAAGCACCATACGTCATTTACCCGGAAATCCTCTGCATCGTAGATTACGATGGGTATAGGTAAGTCAACTAATATATCATCAAAGCTATTTAAAGCAGTGGATTCACGGTCAAATAAATATTCTTTTCTTTGTATAAATATTCTACGAAAATTTACATTGACATTTATAATGTCGAATGCATCTATGCGTTTAAACGCAATATTCTGTCTCGTTTAAGGTTACATGGCGGTGATAACGTACAGATAAAGAGATATTTCGTATCCTTTTGGAACGGAGTAGATCTGAGGTATAAGTTACTGAAAGGGCCAAAAATACGTATCAGTATAGCGGGAATAATTATTTCACGGGTAAGAAATCGTAGCGGAATTAATTTATTTGCCTCTAATAAACTATAATATTTTCCTTCCTAGTTAACGAAGAGATTTTTAAAAAAGTATATAAATGTACAAATTTTATATAAATAGAAATTTTCAATTTTTAATCTTATTTTTCATTTTTATTTTTACTTTTAATTTTGTCAAGTCTCATCAAAAGTCTTTAATTTGTCAAAAAATTTGCAATTTAAATAGAATGCGACGATTAATCTTATGTATGAATAAAATTGTATTATGTTATATTCAAGGGACGAGACGCGACACCGTATTTAGAAAGAAATCGCGTGGGAAGAGACGCAATCGACTCGGCAGCTGCTCTGACTGACATGGGCAAATACCTTTTCCGGGAGAGGAGACTTCCTGTCTACGACATCGCTGTTGCCGTTACAAAGTAAGAGTGTCAAATTCATAAAGCGTGATTTATAGCAATTACATTAACTCAAATCAGAAAAGAATGCCCACAGCTGAAAGACGATGCTCTCCGACAATCCAGACTTTTTTTATTCATTATTTCCAACAACGAGCATTTTATTAACTCTATGACGTAACGGAGAAACATGATACGGTAATGCATCGTGAGTTCAGCATTGGATTCCTTAGTGTAAACGTATATTAATTAATTTCAATATTTTCTCCGTTTCTCCTACATAAATGATAATATTATTTATAATTCTCACATTTTATTCATGATAATTTCATACTCTCGATTTTTATTTCGCAAAACAGGTATGATATGTGCCGTCGTAGGAAAGGCGGCCGCTGCACTAAGGGAACTGCCGGTATGGTTTATTATATAGTGATCACACATGCTTCATTTTTTTTCTAAACTTTTATAATACATTTTTTACGGTACAGCATCCTCGCTAGCTTGTATATAGTTTATCGGTATTATTGACGGTACACATAATAATGGTATCTAACGGGTAGTAGCGTTATTAGCTCTTAAGAAGTCTCTCGAGGAAGATATTTTTGTATGTAAGAATCAGCATGCATTGCTTCATATTTTAATTCAGTAGTGCATCATGATAGCGAAAAAAATTGTCATACCTAATAACTCGGAACAGGAATATCTTCCTCGCGTGACTTCGTAATGTACAGGCAACGAGTGAAATTAGGGACTTGCAATAAATTTGCGTGACAATGCACCAGAATCACCAGAGCTTCTTATGCACACGCTCGAACGAGGAGCGGGTATGGTACCACTAATATTAATTTAATTAACAACACGTGATTATCTCATGAGTGGATTACCGTAATATCGCGCACGAAAACTTCCGGATAGCCATAAATTTGAAGGAAAAAAACATATCACTGAATATATCTGAAAATATCACGCATTTCTAAACGGGTCCTTTTAATATTTGCATCAACAAGTCGTAAAAATCAACTTGAGTTTCCTATGACTCTTTAAAAATGTTTATACAGTGGTTCGCAATTCAAATTATTTGTATAAACTACATTCACTACTATTTACATAAATTCGAATTATCTAAATTGCATATATTTGCGTAAATTAAGAGTTGAAAATACATGTAAAATATTCTTTTTTTTTGGACGGATTTGTTTCATGTTAGTCAAAAATATTTTACAATATTTCCAAAAATCAAATGTAAGAAAATGTACAAAAAAAATACGAGATATTAAAATATTAAAATCTACTCAAAAGCTACAATTAAATCTAAAAATTATCTTACTGTTAAATTTTATTCAATTAAAATTTGCATTGTATTTCAAAGCTTTTAATCATAATCATAATTATTATGCTTAAAACTATTATAAATTAATAGATTAAAAGAGAGAGAGAGATAGAGAGAGAGAGAGAATAAAAAGGAAAATAATAAAAAACAATTTGTATTCATATTGAATCTTAATTTATGTAGATTTAATGTGACTATAGCTTGTTAGACGAATAATTTTGTGGATGCCTCTTTAGATTTTGAAGGATTATAGCTTGCGCATAAAACCTCATGCGATAAATCGAATCGCGTTTTTCTTTATTCGTGTATTTCTTTATTCTATTCCGTTGACAGGTTCGATTGAAATGCTACTTTGCAATCGCACAAAATTGATTAATCGATTTCGACGCGCGCACGTGCGATGCAAGCGATCACCGCTTAATCAACGATTATTTACTTATGCACTAGGATTGCGTAGTATGTTTTCACTTTTACTTTTTTTAATATTTCAAAACACACATATGCTTCCGCAACACGTGTGTATCTTTGAGATACACGCCCTTTGCCTCCGGTGAGAAGAACGGTTTTTCACGCGGAAAATTTTTAATTGAAGGTTTAACTGAAACCGGTACAATTTCGGTGCGTTTAAGTCCCTACGCAAAAAATGGTCCTCGCATCGAATGATTTTATTAGTCACGAATATAGATGTCATTTATTTCACGTATCTATAGTACCGAAATTTGCCGCCTCGCCAAAATTATACCAGTTTCAAACGACGTCTTGCGACAGTTTCGCTTCGCGGGTGGTTGCTTTCGATCACACGCAAATCAGCATTATTAATGGTCGCGTAAGCACTGTCGACTTTTTTCCAAAGGTAATATTACAGGGTAATATTACACTTTTTATACGGTAAAGGTTTTCTCGAGAGGATGATTATCACTCATATTTTGAAATCCAGAGAAATATATGAATCGTTATATTTCATCTTCCAGCTTTCGTCCTGGCGACGAACACGGTTCCATGTACTTATGCTTTCTTCTTTTTTTTTATTTTCTTATTTTTGCACAGTCGAAAGAAGTGATTCGAGCGGCCGTCTGTCCCGTGACCAGGTCAGAAACATTTGCCGGATATGAATTTATATGATAAAGAGTATTTTTGTTATTGCATTACAGATTAGATATGTGCAGGAGGCAATACGCGAATGATGTGTGCAATAGAGGAACCGCAGGTATGTTTTTTTCTCGGATCAAGAAGAAGAAAAACTTTTTTGTTTTAGCTTCCCCAACTTTTAAGTCTTGCACTATTTTAATCTGAATTTCTAGATATTCAAGAGAAAGGGAGAAAGAGAGATTTGCGAGAATATTAAATCATAGACATGTAAATTAAATAAAAATACTAGAAATAAAAATTTAAAAAGAAATCTATTACATTTGTCGGATGTCAAGATTTCTGTTTTTGCATTTATATTTTACCATTTTGAATTTCTTGAAACTTTTAGGAAACAATTCAAAAAAAAGCTTGCTTTATATATATTTTTATTTATCTAAATATACTTTCTTCTAATGGGTGTGCCTTATATTCTTCTCTTCTTCATATGTGAATCATACAGATTGCAATCCAGCAACGAAAATTGCGTCAAGCAATTGCCTCTTTCGAACTCTGCTGTTTCCTCGCACAGTCGCTTAAACTTTACTTCTATATGTGTTTATATCTATTGCATATATATGCTAGGTCTCAATATCTACAATGGCGGATCCGAGAGATTTTTCGGCTATGAAATTCGATTAGCTTTTATATTTTTGATACATTAAAAGATGATCAATATATAAAAAATAAATCCATGAAATTTAATTAAATATCTTTTAATATTCAATTATAATCCGCCACTGTATCTTTTACACAAACTATTACTATATTTCCGCATTTATGTACATACATTATTTCATAGTTTTATACATTGAAAATCGTTCGTAAATTTGATCATACAAATTTGATCATTCGTAACGAAAAGCACATCATCGCCAAAGAGAAACGATCGTTCAAAATTCAATTCTCTGATACCTTTTTCTTTTTTTTATATCGTCTATATACTCTTTGTTCTGAATAATTTTTCCCGAATAATTCATGACTCTTGTATCTTTGGCTGCATTACTGTCACGGATGGTTTTTGGTAAGTCTTTGAAATCACAGCAATTCTAAATACGTCGAGAGATGTATCTTCCATGCTCATATATTCTTCGATATCGAATCGGGGGAGAAATCGGGGGGGGAGCGAAAGGGATGACATTCTAATCCGGCCGATTTTACATAAATATTCCTTAAACTACATGATATTTCTGATATACCGGCTAATTCTCTCGTTAACTAATTAGACGCGACGAATTAATGCCGGATGCATGCCGCATATATGTATATCGTTGACAACTTTAACACACTCATTTGAACGAATTAATATTATTAATTCTCATAACTCAAATACTCTCAGATACAATAAGACTTATGGCAAATTAACAACAGGCGCGCTTCTTCATCCTGAACGTAAATATCAGAGCTACTCGATTAATAAAATCGATCGATTATACTCACAAATACTCATTCGATCGAATACTTGTGCGAGTTTATGGTGGAGATACGCTTCTACGCCAGTTTCGCTGGTCAGATACTAATTTAATGAGACAGCTTATTTAACGCCAACAATTTTAATAGTAACGAATTAGCGTTTTATTCGAGGTGCTTATTGAAGGAGAAAGTATTGCAACGCGTTAAAATATCTCTTCTGCGTATAGGATTCGCCTACGTTGGCGGAGCGTGCGTCGTGAATAAACGTCTCGAGAAGGTGAATTCGGTCGCTATCATCGAGGATACCGGTGGATTCAGCGGTATCATTGTCGCTGCGCACGAGGTGGGCCATCTGTAAGCACTCGAGATTATTTTGCTCACGAATCTCTTCCCTTATCTTTTCCATCCACTTGTTTATACCTGTGTCTATCAGTTCTTTTACCTAAAAATCAATAATATCGTATACGATTACGTTGTAGATTGGGCGCCGTTCACGACGGTTCACCTCCGCCGAGTTATCTAGGTGGGCCAGGCGCCGAGAAGTGTCGATGGGAAGACGGATACATCATGAGCGATCTTAGGCACACCGAGAAAGGCTTCAAATGGTCGCACTGCAGCGTGTCCTCCTTCCATCACTTTTTAAAGTAGGTAATCTCCGCGTAGCATCAATCCTAAAATTTCGATTTTATAAAATTACTATTTTAAAAAATTACTTGTAAACAAATTTTCTTTGTTTGTTCTTTTATAATCATTTTTATTTATTTTTTAAATGAACTTTAACAGGTACAATAGTGTGATTAATGTGTAAAAATCTCGACAATTATTATAAAATAATATATCGTGTACATTTAATCATTTTTTAAATAATATTCACCACTGCCAGGCATTCTAAATTTTATGAAAAAACAAATAGTAACGCAAGTTTTAATAAGTTCCTTTCTCTTGATTTTCAGTGGTGATACAGCAACCTGCTTATACAATGCGCCTCACGAAGACGAGGCATTGCCCAGAGTACTTCCGGGAAAACTTTTATCCTTAGATGCGCAATGTCGGAAAGATCGTGGAACAAGCGCTTGTTTCGTACGTTTTTATTGTCTTTATACGTGCACTACAAATTTTACAGTAATTTCCTAATAATTTATACACTTCACACATTTACATTTTATGTTCACTATTTTAGAAAGACGACCGGGTTTGCGCTCAGCTGTTCTGTTTCGATGCTGGATCCGGATACTGCGTGGCGTATCGTCCAGCAGCAGAAGGGTCGCCTTGCGGAGATGGTCAGGTAAAACAAATCAAAATCTACATGGTTTAATGATATTTTCTCGCTTCAAAGAAGCACGTTTACTTTTATAATATTTTTCTATAAAAATTTCATAATACAGTTTGTTATAATGTCACGATATAACTACTGCACGTTCGTACCGCGTAATTAACAGAAGTGATCTCATAAATCTTGACAGATACGTGAACTAGTGGCACGTTATTGCGTTATGTAATTTTATGAGTCGAGATAATGTAATTCCCTATATGTTGCCCCGGAATTTCTTTGCACAGTTGTTTAATCATAATGATGTTGATTTTCAGTACTGCCTGAATGGAAAGTGCGTGGCGGAGCACGAGAACATAATACCAGATTATACGCAGAACATTCCGACCTACGTACGTCGAGACAGCATATTCAATCCTACGCTGCATAATAGGCCGATATTCGCTCAGTACAACAACACAGACTATAGGTAATACAGATGGATTATTTCTTTTAATTCTCATAAGGAAACAGGAACCGCGCGCACATTGCGTAGATAGATTTTTATTAATTCTTTAATGTGCAGTGTGAGTTGAAACGATTACACTAGAAATGTATACATTTAAACGGAAATGTTTAAATTATATCCTTGATTAAGGATCGTGAATCAACGTATCTATAATAAAAGGCAGCTGTTGATATTGTTGTCATTTAACAGAATACAACGCAACATACGTAAATATATAGCTTTATGCTGCAGCGCATTAGTAGTAATGCTATAATGATATGCTACACAGGTATCCGTGGGAATCAACGACACTGAGCACATCATTATCGAGCATAATCACGTTGATGACACCGACGACAATAACGACACTGTCAGTTAATCCTTACAAACACGTCGTAGTACCAGTCATAACTACGCTGTCGAAATATACACAGACAACTCCTAATAATTTATACACTGATCGTTATAAGACTAAATATAATAATAATAATAATAATGATATCGGCGCTGATGACAGCATCAGCACCACCACTCGGAGAAGCGTTACCAATTTCTTCAACTCGTACTACACTGTCAGTAGCACTCCAAAGGTCACTAATGCTCTGAAAATTAATCCGTTCAAGTATAAAAGCGTGATGTCACTTTCTACGACGACCAAAGGATATCAGAACGGCCTTCAAAATGACGGCCGCGGTAAGAAGAAATCTGAATTAGATTTGTATCATCGCGCTAATTTTTCTCTCTCTGTCTCCTCAGGGTCGAGTCTTTAACTTTTGCATGTAATCATTTCTTGTCGTTAACGTTTGTACGGAATCTGATATAGTTTTCCCTTCCTATGTATCTTCTATTTTTTGACGAATTCTAGAGTTGTGAGGAACTTTTCGAGAGACATTGGTTCCGATATGTCTAGGTTGTTTTGTTGGTTTTGCTCGGAGACATTTTTATTATTTTGCATAATATATTTGTTTTATTTTTGACTCCCTCTCTCTCTTTCTCTCTCTTTTCTATGTTACTAATGGAATATGAAAAGAGTATATATTATGGATTTTTGTTTCATATTGATCTCATAAATCAATGAGAATCTGATAATAGTTATCGTTAATTTCTTCTATTTCCTTAAACACATGTTCTCAATTTTATCTTTAAAAACAAAAGATAATATCAATCAAACTAATGCAAAGGTATATATTTTTGGAACAATTTTTAATCGCAGATTTTATAAATAAACTAGAAATAAATTTTAATCCGATAAAAGTATGAAACACATCTGTATATTTTCGTTGTTTCTTCGACAAAAATGCACATAAGCATTACAAGAGTCATGTCGCTCCTTATATCTCTTATTCTCTCACTAGTAGGACAGTGAGAAACATATATGTATAATATCTGTAAATATGATACCTGGATACACATACATACATATTTACATATACAGAAAACAAACAATAGTATATAATGGTCTTTCTATTGTGGGATACTAATATAATCTTACATTTATTATACGGAACTTATAATCCTCTGTTTTAGGCTAATACACAACTACATTAATCGAATACATCCTATTTTAATTTGTTTGAAATCATGTTCTGCATATAATAATTGTATATAATAATCGTCCGTCTGCTTTCAGGAACAGAGGCCGGTGAATGCACGGACGTTGGGTCAGATTGCGCGGAGATGATCGACAGGCTGAGAACATGGCTGTGCCATCTACAATCTGTAAAGAATCGCTGCTGCGCGTCTCTGAAAACTATCTGTGCTGACTAATATGTAATATGTAATGATATAAAAAAAAGAAAAAGAATAATCAGTTTGACAATTTGCTCAGTGACGTCACGCTCGCCACAGGGATACTGTCAAACAAATTGTTTCGCTGTCGTGACATATCCGGAAAAAGCACTGACGCAAAAGACGAAACCCGGAATAGAGAATTTATTCCTTTCCTCGTTATTTTTCTCTCCTTTTCTCGGAAGAACCGTCTGCCTTTATATCGTTATTCGATTGCTACTCTCCAAGTAGCTCATACTTCTAGATATAATTTGTTATGTTGTAATACCACGAAAGCTTCGCAACAGGTATATTGAATGTAGCAAATATAAAAAAGCAAAGCGGACTATCAATTGGTAATGATATTTCGGCTACGTTTATATTTATTCGATGTAAGGAGCGATCTCGCAAAAGACTTGTTACAGGCACAGGTGCGTCATGCGTATGTTGCAAGCGCAAGCGTGCGCGCGCGCGCGCACGCGGACACGGATGGAGCTTAGAAATAACGGAAATTGTATAGCGCAAGACAATAAATGGGAATAATTAAAAGCTCTCTTTCATACCTTATACATCTATGTATAATTATTTAATTTATATAGCAATATCTGTATCGCGGTTTCTGAAATACTTCAGAGAGAGAAACCTTTATCATTATTCATATATTATTCATATATTAAATGAAATAGATCTAAAAGAAAAAGTTGAATAATTTAATGAAATATATTTATTATTAACATATAATTATTATTTATGCCAACCATCATATTTCAAAAATAGATATGAAAGAATATAATTAGTATGAAAATGGTATTTCTTTTCTCTCAATATATCATAATGTAATTATTTTAAGTAATTACATTAGAATAATATAATAATTATTAAAATCAATAAATACAAGTTTTCAAGAAAATATTCATTTGGCTTTTTCGGAAATATATAGATAAGGAAAAATTAACTTATGCATCGTTCTTTGCCGCATTCTACGTTTTATCTAAAAAACGGGGTCTTTTGAAAAGAAAAGGTAAAAAGCATTCTGGAGAGTATTTTGGAAGAAAATAAAACAGCTGCTTACATAAACGAAAGCAGAATTACATTAGTCCTTATGTGTGAGAAATTTTGATGACGGGTTCTGCAGCCACTAAGATCTGCAGTAAAGTAGCTGCAGATGATCGATGATTAATGACAAAAATAAATGTTGTATAAGCGCAATGTCAAATATTTTTAAACGATATATATGATTTTATATCAATATAATCACGTATGCAGTGCGATTTGCAATCATAAGATGATATATGTCCGCACACACACATACATAAGAAGGTGTATATATGTTCGTAGCGCATGATTTATTTGGCAGTCGGCAGACGCACAAAAATATGTCGCACAAACATCATAAACCGCTATAATGAGATTGAAAAGACAGGACTGTCCGCGTGTTGTCCTTCGAGAGAAATAATAATTATTTATGTAAATTTTTAAACAAGCGCGTACATCAATCATATATGGATCGATGTCTCAAATATCAGCGAAGAATCTTTTTACATAATTTTTTTACATAATTATCACGTAATTAACTTTTTTTTTGAAAAGTTAAAATATTTATTGACATCGATGACGTTATTAATAGTTTATTATTAATAGCTTCAAACTCAAGGCGTTTATGCGAATAGCTATTTAGCAAGTCTATACTTGCTCATTTTTTAAGTATCTTGAGAGAGTTATTTATTTTATTTAATTTCCGTCCATATTTTCTTGTAAACTTTTTATCAGACATTTTACAATCAATCTTTATTGTAAAACATGCTATTTTAAATAATGGAAAAATATGAGACAAACTGTAGACTAATGCAATCAAATTTAGAATTGATTTAATTCACTGCGAATATTATTGCGCCTGTATGTATGTCATCTGTCATGCAAAAGAATTATGAATTTGTATAAAATTCCTTCTTGATTATCGCGCGGCTCTCCCAAGTGTGTATATATACAAGTGTTTCGTCTACAATGTGCGAGCAAATTAAACATTGGCCGGTTAATTTATATATTGAAACACGAAATAGATCCCTTTTGAGTACTTGAGCTACGGACTCTCTTGCAAAAGGTCGGGTAAGCCACAGATATTCGCAAATATCCGAGGTACCGCGCGCTTGCACGCGAGAGAAATCGCAGTTTGCAGATCCTTTTAGTTTGAAGTGCATCATCGATTACATATTCTGGGAAATTTCTAAAAATCACATTCTTACTAATAGAAAATGCTTCTCGCGATATTTCTGTTATATCTGAGCGGAGTACCGTTCATACAATGCAAGCAGGTAATTTTAATGTTTAAAGTAATATCTCTAGTTCATTTCGCGATTGCAAGTCACGTAAAGAGAGATAGAGAATAATATGAAATATTAGCAATTAAAGCACATATTTTCAGCTTCACGAATATATGACGCCGGGTGAAGTGATGTCTGTTTTTCACACTTTGCCTCATCTTGTACCTAAGTACGAAGTAGTTCCCGTATTACGTCGTTTGAAAAAGAAATTGGGAGCGAAACACGAAGATAATACATCCGAGATAGAGTTGAAAGCATTCAACGAAAGCGTTAGATTGTACTTGAATCCAACAGAAGGTATTCTTGCCACCGAGGATACACCTGTATGGACTGTCACGTCTGATTCGGAGGCACCCGAAGGATTACTGTACAAGCAAGTACCCTCGGTACGTTCGATTTGCCAATTTAAGAGCGCAAAATCATATGATATATCCTATATATCCTTTATATCCTTTATTATTTTATATCCAAGAGATAAATGCGAGAAAAATTAACTGATTAATTATTTCTATTACAGGCTATGAAATATATGGGGATACCACTTCAAGATGTATATACCTCAAGCGCAGTTGTATTGACACCCACTCCAGATGGTCAAGTACATTTGGTAAGGAATTTTGAATCTTTTAAAATATTATTATCGAGGCTTTTTTGTTTTACTTTGTTCATTTCTCATCGCAGGATGGAGTGTTGAACAATTCACTCGTCATAAAATCTCTGCCGCCTCGAATCCTGAAAGAAGTCGCCTATGGAGGACATAATCTCTACGAGCCGCATCATATGAAGAATATAACAAACGATGACGGATTCGCTCATACGCATCATCATGTGGTGTACAAAATGTCTCCGTCGAATCAATACAATGATTTCAGTAAGCTTAGAAATATTTATATAAAAAGTTGAATATATTCTGTGTTGAATCCCAGCAAACCAAAATATTACAGCTACATTGCCGCAACATTGTTGCAATGTTGTAATATTGCCGCAATAATATTGCTGCAATATTCTATGTTTGCTGGGATTTGTTAATTTATTTATATATCTCTTTTTCTATATATGTTGTAATAAACTAATGAATATATCCCAACATTTTTCAGAGATTACAGATCCTAAAAATCATAGAGCGAAACGTAACGCTCCAGACGTCATTTATCCTGAATTCATAATAGTGATTGATTACAGACTATACAAGTAAAAATATATCTAATTAAAAAAATGTCTAATAGTAATACAATTATAAATTATAAGAGAAATATATAATTACATTTTATTATATAGTTTACTTGGTGGAAGTATCGAGAAGGCTTTAAGATATTTGCTCTCATTTTGGAATGGAGTCGATTTAAGATATCGTTTATTAACAACGCCTAAAATTCGACTTCATATTGCAGCAATAATTATAGCCTTGGTATGTTTTAACTTGGTGTATCTATCAGATTTTCATATATAATTTTACATAAAGATTTTTTCTGATTATATGTATATTGAGTATTAAAAATGAAAATATAATAATTTTTAAATCGAATATATTATATATGTATATATATAACAGGGTTGGGCAAAAGTCCGGAAACGGTCAAATATCTCGAAAAGGATCAACTATAGCGAAAAATTGTAAATAGCAAAGTTGTAGGGCTTAAAAAAATGTACCTAATGATGACTAAAAATTTTACTTTGAGTGGAGGACGAAGATCATATAAAAGTCAAATTGAATTTTTTAAATGGAACTCCCTATTTTTCATTGCATATTCTTGTAGCTTATCTCGAGAGCTTTCCAAAACACTATAATTAAGTACCTTTTCATTAAGTACTTTTTGAGTTATAAGGCTCGAAATAATTTCTTAATTTTACATAAACCATAAAATATCTAGTAAACCATTCATTTTTCGATTATCTTACCTTCATACTTTTATGTACAAAATAATGAGAGGAATCAATTGGTGTAAAGAAAACACATAGCTATTTTTAAGAAAAAATATGGAATTGTTAATTGCAAATTACATATTTTTTCTTAGAAACAACTATGTGTTTTCTTTACACCAATTGATTCCTCTCATTATTTTGTACATAAAAGTATGAAGGTAAGATAATCGAAAAATGAATGGTTTACTAGATATTTTATGGTTTATGTAAAATTAAGAAATTATTTCAAGCCTTATAACTCAAAAAGTACTTAATAAAAAGGTACTTAATTATAGTGTTTTGGAAAGCTCTCGATAAGCTATAAGAATATGCAATAAAAAGTAGGCAGTTCTATTTAAAAAATTCAATTTGACTTTTATATGATCTTCGTCCTCCACTCAAAGTAAAATTTTTAATATATTCATTAGGTACATTTTTTTAAGCCCTACAACTTTGCTATTTACAATTTTTCGCTATAGTTGATCCTTTTCGAGATATTTGACCGTTTCCGGACTTTTGCCCAACCCTGTATATATATATATATATATATATATATATATATATATATATATATATATATATATATTACGTTTTTATATATTTATATTTATTTTCAAAAAATGTAATAAAAAATATAATATAATAAATAAAAATATACAAAAAAATATATTCTAATATAATCTTCATTTAGGATAATGACGCAACTCCATATCTGGAAAAAAGTCATTTCGAAGAATCATCCGTAGATGCGGATCTCGCTCTACGCGCCATGGCAGATTATTTTTATCGCGAAGACAGATTCCCTACAGATTTTTATGACATTGCGATTACTTTGACGACGTAAGTGTACTTCTTCGTTTCTTTATATATTAATTTTATACTAAAAAAATCATATACGATATATGATAAAAAAATATAATACACGATGCATCATTGCAGATTGGATTTATGCAATATGATTACCGACGACTTCTGCGATACGTCAACTTTGGGTAGGTCTACTAACGTATCCTATCAAGTGCCGAATTATTATTAAATATTCTATCCTTAATTACCTAGACATTAATTTTAATTATTCAAAAAAATAAAAATATGAAATAATTTTGTCGCAGGATACGCGTACGTAGCTGGTGCATGTGACAGAAACGCAACAAAACACTCATCTGAAGCTGTAGGCATTGTGGAAGACAAAGGTGGATTTGATGGCATAATCCCTACAGCTCACGAAATTGGTCATTTAATAGGAGCACGTCACGATGGTAATCCTAAAGGCGCTGCAGATTGTCCGCCTTTCGACGGCTTTATCATGACTAGTGGGCTTATGTTGCACGAGAATGGCTTCGAATGGTCTTCGTGTAGCATAAACGCATTCCACGATTTTATCAAGTACGCATATCGGATAATTTATACATTTATTTACTTTTAAAACGAATATGCATGAGAAAATTTTGTTTCAGCGAGGATAGAGCCAAGTGTCTTTACAATGAGCCTATCTTGGGTAAACAGGTGCCGCGTACTTTGCCCGGGAAACTGATGAGTTTAGATGAACAATGCAAGAGGGTTTTCGGAACATTGGCATGCAATGTAAGTTTAAATACACGCAAAATGTCTGTAATATATGAATTATTTGCGCGAATATATAGCTCATGTTTCTGCTTTTACAGAAAGATGCTACAGTTTGCACTCGCTTGGAATGTGAATTTCCTGGATTTGAAGGCAGCGGCTTTTGCAAGGCAGTGGCTCCAGCAGCGGAAGGATCTCCATGCGGAGACGGTTTGGTGAGACTAAAATTATTACATTTTTAATCCATTACACAAATTGTTATTATATAATCGCGCTGGTAATTATTAAAAAATTATTATTAACAATGTTATATGCTTATTTAATAATTTGTATTCAACATTTTTATAGTTCTGCTTAAATGGCAAGTGTGTACTGGAAGGAATGGTTAAGGATCCAAAGAAGAAGTATATACCGAAATTCATTGTTCAAAAGATCAAGGAAATTCCATGGATTTCAAATTTGCTGAAAAGATTGAAGAAGAGACTGAATATTTTCAAAAATTAAATGTACATGTTGTTAAGGTAAATGTTTAATTTATTAATGTTGAATCAAAAAAAAGCACGAATATATATTTTAAAATTTATTTGAATTAATTATATTTTCACAATAAAAAAAATCATTTTACTTTCACTATTATATGTAATTACAATATGATATTCAATACTTGACATATAGACTGAATTTTACAGCAGGAAATAAGAGATTTTTTGATAAAGTTTATAAGATAAGACTTCTAATCTGTGTTACAGGACACTATATATACTGATATATTATCACACTCCACATTGCTGCTGTTTTAATGAAGTGCCATATAAAAAATACGAACAAAAATTTAATGTTCAAGAATGTTACTATATTCTATTCTGATTGAAACTGTATATAATAGTCTATGCTTGTAAATACATAAGGAATTATGTACGCACACATACACATAATATACATAATTTGTAAAAATATCAGAATATGAAAGATCTGAAAATTATTACATATTCTCTTTTAGTCATATATTATTAGGCAGATTTTTATTAGTTGTTATATATTTAATCATAATTTAATGTAGATGTTTTCTCCACATTAAATATCTCTATATTCAAATCATAAACCAATCAAGTTTAATAGAGCTAAAATTTCAAAATTAAGAAATTGACTGATCAACCATAGATATTTTTATTTCTACAAATAGAGAAAATGTAATAAGTCTAGAATGTCTTATATGTGATACGCATATTTACAAAAATAAAAAAAAAAGAATGTAAAATGAAATGTAACGAAAAGCATACAAAATAAAAGTTGACTTATCTATCACACAAATTGAATATTTAAATAATACTGGCAATGTTCATATACACATTATTTAGCATCTTAAAGTAATTCTATTTAAATAATAACAATGACACAAATATTAACATATATTCTCTTGGCATAAATAAATAGTGTATTTACTTTTTATAACATGTAAATAAGAATATTTAATTTAGCATTTGAAAAAAACTTAAATAATTTTAATCTAAACACACACTACTTATTCTATTTTTAATGTATTATATAGAAATGTTTTTTATGTATTATATAGAAATTTTATATAAGAGAACATATAACAAAATATAAAAAAATAAGACAAAATATAACAAAAAAAGTTATCAATTCTTTATTGATTTATTATGTTGTTGGATCTATGCCTATTTCATCGTATAGTTTGTCTTTACTACCAGGATAATTATCCAGAATGCAATCTATTATCTCAGTGACTATCTTTTTCCTTTTCAAATATGTGCGTGTGTATTCGTCCAGAGTATCTTGTGCCTTCCGTTTAGATATTGCATGATCATGCAAGTCTACAGTATTGTTACTTTCTATCAATTCATCTAATTTATGTGTTAACTGTTTTATATTTTGTTGCAATGTAACTTTTTCTTTTTGTGCATCTTCCAATGTTAGACTGGATTTCAAGGAAGCTAAGAGAGCCTCTTGTTCTTTCATTTCTTTCAAAATTTCTTGATATTTATTCTCCTTGGCACGACTTTGTGCTTCTTTGTCGATCCTTAATGATTCATCAGTGTCATATGTTGAATCTTGGATGACACAATAGATCTTATACTTACCATAAACCTAAACATAAAATAAGAATGGATTATTTTTCAAAAATATTTTATATCCTGCATTATTATGGATATATTTACTTTTTCAAATAGCTTCTTATCCACTACTAATTCATCAACAGCTTTTTGAACTATAGTTTTACTATACTTATTATCCAAATTTGCGAGTATATCATTCAAATTATGAGGTTTATTTTCCGTCTTCATATAATTATATACAGCTTCCACAGCCATTATTATATCTTATTATATCCTAGAATAAAATTGAGGTATACATTATATCGCAAAACATAATCGTTTGAAATATTGCGATAGAAATGGTAACTTAAAATAATAAAAAATAATAAAAAAATAATGAAAGTCATATATATTTTATAATAAACTACATGTATACATTAGACGCAAATTGCAAAATATATAAGTTGACACTTCAAAGTTGACATATCTATATCAGCATATATGCAAAAAGTATTAATTAATACGAACCGATAAATACAAGAAGAGCGTATTTAATAATAGAAAATTATTTTCTTTCTGTCGATTCGACTCGTTTTACTTATTTGTTCGCTGATATTTGCTGGCGGAATTCACAAAAGAATCTCCATTCAATTCACCGGTAATGTAATTTAATATTTCTCCTATTGTTAGTGTATCCTTTTTCCACAGGGTGAAAAAGGGCGCTGCGTCTGCCATATGATCCATATATACAGCTGATGATGGCCGATAAAGATGGCCGCCTTGCTTCCAAGATTCACTCTGCAAGCAGCAAGTAAATGTCATTTATTTAACATATTTTGTGATATGATTTAGCCTTTTTTTCGAGATTGAATTATTTAAATATACTTTATGAAAAAATTATCTGCAATTCTTTTACGTTCATACCTATGTATGTGACACATTGATTAGCAATTACATAACTAACAGTTTACATTTGTTGTGTATATTTCAGAAAAGCAGACAACATGCACCGCGGTCGTTGCGTTGCAGACGAGTCATTATTCGTCGGACCCACGAGTCATAACACATCCCACTACTGCTTCCTTGAAGAGAGGTACGGGTGGTCGTAGTTCCTTCAATGGGATAGTGTGCACAGTGTTTGGCGCAACTGGATTTGTTGGACGCTATGTGTGCAATCGTCTTGGCAAGATTGGCACACAGGTATAATAATATACTAAAATATAAAAACAATATCACACTTGTCATTATTATAACACTTAAAATATAATTCAGTTAACTTCTCGATTGATGATTCTTTGCAGCTAATACTGCCCTACAAAGGTGACATGTACAAATGTTTGCCTTTAAAACTATGCGGGGACCTTGGGCAAGTCTTGTTTCACCCGTTTCATCTACGTGACGAGGATTCAATAAGAAAATGCATCAAGTATTCCAATGTTGTTATTAATCTAATTGGACGAGAGTGGGAAACTAGAAACTTCACCTATCATGAGGTGCATGTTGATGGAGCCAGAAGGCTCGCTAGATTATGCAAGGAAGCTAATGTAGAACACTTTATTCATGTATCAGCTTTAAATGTGGACAGTGATAAGGTAAACTGGATATCTTTGTTATATTAATATATTAAATCTTAATATTTTAATATTTTCTTTCTATTTGTATTAGACATATGTGTTGAAAGATGGATCTCGATTTCTGCATACAAAATTGGAAGGCGAGCATGCAGTGCGAGAAGAATTTCCGGAGGCTACAATTATCCGGCCATCAAACATATGGGGTCAAGAAGATCGATTTTTGCGTGTCTACGCTGGTATAATGAGACATCATTTCAGGTACATAATTTGTGTGGAAATAAATTTTCCAGCAGTAAACTACAATTGCTGATATCCAATAATTTCATTTTCTTTAGGACTATACCGATATGGGAAAACGGTGAAGCGACAGAAAAACAGCCAGTAGCTGTATATGATGTTGCTGGAGGTATTACAGCTATTGCAAAAGATCCTAAAAACACTGCTGGCAAGATTTATCAGTTTGTTGGGTAAATATAACATATTTATCATACCACAATCTTACATCACATTAAATCTGTTTTATAAAATGTAATATTATATTTGCACAGACCGAAACGTTATAAATTTTCTGAACTACTTGATTGGTTCCATCGAATACGGATGCATAATCCAGCAGATTATGGTTACAGAAGAATAGATTTGAAATATGCTCCATTGTTTAAACTTAAGCTTACTTTGAACGAACTCTTCAGCACTGCATACCCTCTAGGATTTGTACAATGGGAACTTCTGGAAAGAGTATGTTTCTCTTATATTACAAGTATAAATGCTAATATACAACTTAAACACTATGTGTTATTTAATAATTTAATAAAATAAATTTGCTCTTTATTAGGAAGCCATATCCGATATAGTATCAAAAGAACTGCCAACTCTAGAAGACCTTGGTATTACATTAACAACAATGGAATCACGAATGCATTGGGAATTGAAGCCGTGGCGTAAAGATCCTCAATATATGGAAAGTGTTGGCGAGTTCAGCTCTATTCCGGATCCACCAACTGTTGCAGTCCATTAAAAGTCTCAGAAATGTGCTAGGTTAAAATACAAATAGAACAGAACTCTATGTACTCTTATTGCTAAGTGATATTGTAAAGAGTATATATTGTCAATATTAAATATAACGCGGTTAATTAAATATATATTAAATTATTTAAATATGTATGTTCCAGTTGAATTTTATCAATTTTAAGTACATAATATAAATCGAATATTTACTGAATTTTTTATATCTCTGCACTCTAGTGTTGCTAAAAGTCAAATTAATGAGAAGCTATTTCTAGAACTTGTGGAAATCAAGACTATATTACAAGACTATGTTAATATTTCATTCCATTTATTATATGACAGGACATGCTAACTACAATGAAAGATTACAATATAATCGTATCTATTAAATGCTATTTTAAATTTGGTAAAAAATATAAGCTAAGTTGGTCCTCGGTTATTATGCTGACCGAAGGCCAAGCAAATCTTCCATTATAAATGGCAGCGAAACACGCTTTATATTTTTTTTAATTATAAGCATAGCATTATTTTATAACTCTGATTCAGTCCATGATATATATATTTATAGCCTTTGGACGCCAATTTTTATCTATGAAGCAATACTTTTTTCACAAACTTGATTACAAGAACAAAATATTCTGCAGGATATATTGTTTAAGAGAGATTTTCTATTAGTATCTTTTATATATATATATATCTTCCTCTCCTATCTTTAAGTATTTACGTGAAGTAAATACACAACGTTGGCACAATGTAAACTTTTTTTTTAAATACAAATCGTGTATACAATCGTGTTTTACAGTATCAAATGTCAACTTGAAAGTGTGTCGTATATCGTGATTGTTTAAAAGAATTAATGTTTTGTTTAATTAGTGTTTTTAATGGATTTTGATGGAAGTAAATTTTTTGCAATTAATTTTTCTAAGATAACGCTGATAAAATTGACAATGCAGTGAAATTTGACAGAGTTCTATATTAAAGAAGATCTTTCACCTTCCAATTGAACCTTTATAGACGTTACAAAAAAAATTTATAAGAAAAATAGATATTCTAAAGTAGCCTAAAGTGTTGAGCACAATACATTGTTATCCATTTTCGGTTCTAAAATATATTCCTATAAATACACGAATAAAAAAAATTGACAAATATATCGGGTGAAAATTTGAAAATTTATAATTGTTAAGTGTAAGAATTTATAGATATTCCATTTTTATTTAAAATTTTAGATTTATTTTTTAAAATCCATTTTGCGCAAAAAGATTATTTCAAAATTAGTTTAAAATTAATATCCGATCATACAAATAATTAATAGATTTCGCACGATAAATTTCTGTCGATAAATTTCTTTTAAATTACATATTCTCTTTTAAATCCTAATATGTTGAGCATTTTCTAAAAATCTTACATCAACGCAATTAAATATGTATACTTAATCGCTAGGTACTTTCATCATTTCCGAAATGTTTAAATAATTCCCTAATCTATAAGTGGAATCGGAATAGCAGTGAATGTACGAGGGCATAGCTCGGATTTCTGGATCCAGAACTAAGACTTGTAGTAAGTTTATGAGATCTATAAAAATATTATCTAGCTTGTTAATATTATATTTTAACGTCAAAAAGTTTCACAATGTAACACATTTACATTATATGGTAACTAATGTAAATATAAATTATGAAATAATTTTGTGCCCAATGGGGATAGAGATCGCAAAAACAAATTTGACTTTCTCTTGTTAGGATTTAAAAACGTTACATTCTTTTACCTTTTTTCCGTTTCTATGCCCCGAACAACGTATGGTTTATGATGTCCATCCAAAAGTCGAAGTTTCAAATAAGCTTCAATCAAATGGATGCAGTAATGCTGGTCCAGTATGTTGGCCACTTAAAGCTCACGTATGGCATATTATCTCGTAATAAATTATGTATCCGCGATCGGCGATCGCGAATTTACATGAATTACCAATCATTTCGATTGGAAATGGACTGCTAACGTATACAGATCTGTGTTATCGTTATACATTGAATCGCCTAATCGAATGCTCTTTTTAATTTTTAATATATTTCATAAAAAGATGGCATTCGCGATACAACCGCAAGATGGGAGATCGCGTTTAGCATCAAAATTGCATTATTGTATAAAACAGTGACTTATAACAGTCGAAGAACTCATTGTATTATGTACAGTTAAACGCAATATATGTAACAGTTTATATAAATAGTATAAAATTCTATTAATAATTAATAACTTAATACTACACACGCATATTTTGGATATAATAGATAACAGAATTATACTTTTTCGATCTCTTGTTAAACATTGAAATAATACGATAAATATTTCTTCAACACTGATTAAATGATACGAAAGATCACTTTCATATGTGCAAAAGGATATGTATCTCTATGGCAGTTGTTTTTCGTATAAATAAATTATTGTTAGATATGCATATTCCTCTCGATATTATCGAGAATGATAAATAATGTAAATAAATGTTGTAAGTTGACTTTGCTTACCGTTGCTTTTCTTTTTCCGCAGTTTTGGATTTATGTCCTTACAGTAGCAATATTTTTTCAATTATAATGATTAACAATTAATCATCATATTATAACAATCTGTGAAAATCTCTTATTTATCATTCCTGATTATTTTTATCGGGATACTATATTGATTTTGTTCAAAATAAAAAAAATTAATACTTTTTCATTTTTTTTTCTAATTTAAAAGAATTTTTTAAGAGACACCGACAGATAAATTAGAAAAAAACAGAAAGATAAATTCCTTATATAATTAGATAATTTCTATTCAACATATAACATTTCTATTTAATACATATAAGAAAAATTTATAAAAACTTTAAAAATCAACTTTATATATGTATATACTTTCATTTAATTTATTATTTTAATGAACTATAAATTCATAGTTTGATAAATTTAGGCCATAGAATGAAATTTTAGTTATAATTTCGTAGATCTAATTAAAATTTGTATGGCTTTGTCTTTCACAGATCAATTTCGTCAAATCGCAAGACTATATCTTTTGCACTCTAATATGATATATATATAGTACCTTTCGAAGTTGTATTAGATTGATAGAAGATTGGTACAATAATCTACAGCGATAACGATATATTCAATATAATTCGTACGAGATACCTTTTTGCTTCGGCAATTTTACAACCGAGCTACACGAAGATTCAACTGTACGAAAACGAAGATATGGAGAATTTCTCGACAAAGCCAATAAGCGAGAGCATAAAAATCTGACCATTCTCTTATAATCGCATAGGAGCATCTAAGAGTAACGTGTACGGGACGATCGTTGAAGAAGAAGAGTGACGCTCATCGCAAGAGATTCATCGAGAACAAAAAGGCGATCAGCAACGTAAATCCTGATATACATAGGGATGATAGCCCGATCTCGCCCGAGCCCAGGTTGTCCTGAATCACATTGTCGTGGCATCGAGCGACGAGCTCAAAGTCGACGACGTTCATGGGCTTGCCGTTGTACTCGAACGGCGAGATGCAATAGTTGCGGCGTTGAAATTCAACGCTGTCGCCGCGGGCGAAGTCGCTCTCCAAGACGTTGTGCGCCTGGCAGTCGCACGGGAAGTGATTGTCGATCGCGCTGATCGTGGTCACCTCGAGGACGACGTCCCTGGCGTGACGCGGCGCCTCCAGCACGTGATTACCGTGGAAGCGCAGCATCTCGATGTAGTTTTCGTAGCGCAGATGCAGGCGTTGAATCAGATCCACCTTGTTGTTGAGTATGTTGAGGTAGTTCACGTGTGTAAGACCGGCGAACGCATCCTTCTGCACGGTGCCCAGGTCGCTCTCTTGAATATAAATCGAGTGGACGTACGACAGACCGTAAAATGTATTGGGCTGCAACCCAGCCAGATCCATATAACTGAGTTTGAGCTGACCGACATACTGGAGGCCGTCGAAGGCGTTCTTTTCGATTACGCGGATGCCAGACGGGAAGATGAGATTGTTGACATTGGTGAGGCCGGCAAACGCGTGGCTGCGGATGGTGTGCAGCGGATTGTTGCTCAGCAGGATCAGATTCACATTGGACGCGCCGGCAAACGAGTAGCCCTCGACGAAGCGGATCTTATTGTTGGCCAGCAGCAAGACGGAGACATTCTGCAGGGCGGCGAACGAAAACCTCTCGATGCAAGGTAAGGGGGTATGCTGGATCGACAGCTCGCGTAGCCGATTCAGACCGCGAAACGCGAACGGCCGTATACTCGAGATATTGTTGCCGTCCAGGATGAGCTTACGCAGCGACCGGAGACCGGCGAACGTGTCGCCCTTTATCACCGGGAAGTCGTTCTTCGTCAACGACAGCTCCTCCACGGTCTCCGGCAGCTGCTGCGTCGGGATGTCCTCGAGGCCACCTGTATTGCAGAGTACCTATTCGCATAGAAAAATATTGAGTGATATCAAAAACATCAATATTATTACAATTGTTTGTTGTTGATGAAATATTTTAGAGAGAACAAATATTTTCTTATGAAACGTTTGCATGATAAAATAATATTTGTACACATACGTAAACCATATGAGATTTCTTTTGATCTTATTACCTGTTTTCGAGAGAGGCAAATGCATTCTAGCGGGCAGTCCCAACTTTTTGTCGTGGTAATCTCCAAATCGGAGGTGAACGTCAAGTTTACTGCTGCTATGCATAGCAGGTAGTAAATGCAAAGCTAGAAAAAATACAAATATAAATAACAAGTGTTTTACATATTTATTTATACACTATATTTTAACATCATATATATATATATATTTCAACATTCATTGGATTTACTAGATTTGTGAGGCACATCCCGCAACCGGAACTGCTACATTAAATGTCCGGCTATCACACGCATTTAGCATTAAAATTAAAGGACCCCCGAAATTCTCGATATACTTTGAATCGATCTAATGATACGTAACACGCCATTTAGTTTAGCTAAATGTATCGTGCAGTCGAGATCTTTTCGCGGCAAAATCTACCGGGAGACCAATGGATACAATGTGCGTGCGGCAGAGAGCTACAAGAGCCTGAATCGCGCGCGGACGCATGCAAATGCACGCGCGCGAGATGTGCATAACCGCTGCACGATGCTGCGTACCTGCGCCTTGCGATACATCAATCCCGGGATTTTTACGGCGCATGCCTCGGCATATCCGGGGTGAGAATGTCACGCGAGGCGATGTGGGCGACGTATATATATATATATATATATGTATATATATTACAATATATATATATATTATTATTATTATGTATATATATATATATATATATATATATATATATTTATATCCCTCTCTAGAAGCGAAACGAGGCCACCAACCGACAGGGAGAGTGTCGTCGACACACCGTACAACGCACCGCTATTTTTTCCCCCCCTGGTGTGCTCCTCTCGAGAGAGAGAAGACCCGCACCAACCCCCGCGCGCACGCACGCGTGACGCACGTTGCGTGCGGACCTGGCTGTGGCTGTCGCGCGGACGACGCACTCTGCGAGGAGCTCGCCCGACTCCCCTATCTCGCTTATCACGCGCGAGGGAACGACGTGACGAGCGCCGAGATTACCGAATCGACGTCGACGTCGACGAGCGGACGGAGAGGAAATTTGGTGTCCGCGCGGTCGCGTTCGCCGGCTGGGCTCGGGGCTTTATCACCCCTCGGAGTCAGCTTCTCGCGATCCACCCCTTCCTTCCCCCCTCCCCGCCGCCCTCCTTCGCAGTCTGAAGACGCGTACTGCGCAAGCCCATAATTATTCTCTCCGCGCGCGGTATCGAGGAATGAGGCTTATTAGCGGAACGTAACTATGTGTGCGTCTCTCTCTCTCTCTCTCTCTCTTTCCTTCCTTTTCCGCTTCTCTATTTCGCTGCCGTATACTACGGAAATCATCGCCGAAAATCCAATGGTTCCGCGAACGTGCGCGGCTGTCACGCGAGCCTCCTCGTTATTTAGACTTCACTCCATGCGATAAAAATTCCTCCTCGCTTGATTTTGTAAAATTTTTTTCGATCATGCGTTTCGGTTTATTTTCCATCATTTCACTTAGTCTCCCAATGACGTTACTATTCTAAAAATAATTATTAAAGTATATAAATATATATTAATATTTCTTTCTCGATGAAAATTTTATTTTCTTCTTTTATCGAGAGCTTTGGCATTAAAAAGAGAGATACAAATGTATGCAAATTTATTTATATCGCGTGCATCTCTGTTAAAAAAAGTTATATAATAAAAAGTTAATTTTCATCAATTATGAGAAAGATAATCCAATTTTGTATCCTTTATAAGGATTATCATATTATATATTGCAGGCGCTCAAACTTCACTTCAATTCCATAATCCATCTGTTACACGAGAAAACACGCATACATACGCATGCATACGCAAATAATCGGTATTGCGAGGATATCGAACTCGACACGCACACCGTGCATACCTTAATGAAGGTAAACTTAATCAACGGAACTGATCAAGCCGGCAATGAATAACAACGATATATAAGATTATATAGTTTATTTCAACAAGCTTGCACAATATTATTGATAACATACATTGTGGTGGGAAGTGCATAACATATACATACATATTATACATAAGTATAAATATGTATGTACATACTTATATACGGTATAAATATGTATATACGGGCATATATACATATAAATGCGCGTATTATATTTGTCTGTGCATGTGTGCGTGTTTTTAACGTAGTAAAAATCAGTCTTACAAATAATACATCACTAGTCGTTATAAGGCAACATTATTTACTTATGTCTATTTACAATCATACTGAAAAGTGGATATAGAAAATCGAGCGACTTATCTATTTGTGTATTTAAAATAATAAGTATAATATCTTTTTACGTGGCATGAGTAGCATATTAACATGGCATTGGCAGTTTAACAGTACAAAAAGATCACCACCGTGATCTAATATTCACTCGAATAATGGGATTCGCATATTTTAAATCGAATGATGCGCTCGATATCGTAAATCGATCAGCAGACAAAGGCACATATTAAAAATTTATCAATGCATACAAAAATGTAGGTAAAGATGCATTAGTAAGACTAATAAGTTAAAAATGCGCTTTTGCGAACAAGGACGCATACGCGGTTTAAAAAAGATGATTATATTAAAAACAGTGCTTCTCTCTTTCTCTTTCTCTCGCTCCCTCAATACTTTACAATATAAAATAAATGGCTTTTAAAAACAATGTGCATCGCATCCAGACATATATCAACGATATATATATTTTCAGACATATATTTTCTCTTAAACGTATATAATCATTTTATATGCACAAACTATCCCATTTTATCGTTTTTTTTTTACTTTACAGGAAACTGAAAATAATCGTAAAATGTTTCATTTCGTCAATTTCTGTTGACATATATATATATATATTTTTTTTTTTAATTTTCTGTAAAGTAAAAAAAAATGATAAAATGGGACATTTTGTATATTTCTTATTTATTTCACATTGCTTGACGCAATGATATATCTAATTAGTGCATATATATATAAATTTATATATTATACCACACCGATATAAAAGAGATGAAAGATATAATTGATTAAAGCTTAGCAATAATGCATAACTTACTTACTATTGTACTTATAGTGCATTTTATAAACGTTTAAAAAAAGACACATCGCTTATGTCAATAACAATAAAAATACAAAGTAATATGTGAATGGCATCCGAGGTAACCAAGTTACCTTGTAAGATACATTAGTAATTGGCAGTTTTTTCTGAGATACTTGATATTATATTAGCTTTTCATGATAAAATCGATCACATAACGGACAGGTACTGCATGTACTATTTCGTGTTTTATAAACATCCTTCTTTTGCGCTTTATAAGAATTCTTATTGTAATATATGTGTAATATATGTGTATAATAAATATGGAATGACTTGCATGTATTGAGGTAGAAACGGTGGAGGTAGCTTTGGTTTGCATACAGGAAGACAAGATATCAGCGGTAAACTGATATTTTTCGTGCTACATAAATTCATATTCGTCCCATTCATTCTATGTATACTTGGTATTGGAATTCAAATGTAATGTATGTTGTAACACATTTCAAATCAAACCTATATCTATTTTTCTTCATCTTATATTTCATGTAAATTCATGTATATTTCAAAATATCTGTAAAATTATACGAGATCTAAAAATGTCAGAAGAAAAATATTATACATAATGGTTACAGACGATCAGAATTTACGACTCAATTATCCATTTTACACTCTTTAAAGACTGTTGTTTAATATAAAAATAATTTTTGAACAATTTGAAACATGTCATTCAGTAATACTGATATAAAAACAAATCTATTTTTTTTCAGAGTTTCATTAATATCTTGTCTTGATACTGAGTATTCAATGTAATCGGAAATTCTTCTTCATACATCAAGAGATTCGAAATATGAAATATTTCTAGCGTTATATTTAAATAGGACTATTTGTACGTCACCAAGAGTGAAATCTCATAAATGTAAATTACCGATCCTATTGAAACAGTATAATCGTTATAGTATAAACGCAAACAACCACGTTTATAACTATAGCGATGAATATAAAAGATGCGAATAAATAAGCTCGTAAATTTGAATCGAATCGAACTCACCAGTTTATTTATTCGCCTATTCGAATTATTATTATATATATATATATATATGTTTATATATCTCTTATTTTAACACTTCTCTGGATTTTCATTTTATCTGCATTTGGATTCATTTTATCAGTCTTACGTTAATGAACTTGCGGTTCATTGTACAATATAATGAGGTAGTTCGTATTATCATTGTTATTGATATGCATTGAGCAATATTGCAATTGTATCCCAGAGCCATATTCAGTTAACGATGAAATACAACGATTATACGATCAAGTACTTATATTTACTAACAAATTAACAATATAAGCAATATCTCGATTATTAACAAAATAATACGAAGTTTACGAACGAATCTCGAAATACACAATTATTAATGCTATGTACAAGATGTTTCCTCACTTTCTGCCGCATCAACGTTCAATACGAGGATGCGACGGATATTTTTTATAATAAAAATTTATTATTTATAATAAAAATTTATTATTTATAATAAAAATTTTTATATAAAAATGCAAGCATAAAAAAGACTTTTAGAACCATGGATTCTTGCAATTCGTTATTTACTTATGTGTTTATTTTCTCTTGCACATGTTTTTTTTTTAATTTTATATACTATGCTTTCTTTGTTCTATAATATTATGCTAATAAACCACAAATCAAAATGAATCACAATAGCGATAGATAATAAATGTAAGACGTATTTACTTTGATCCCAAAAATGTTTAAAAGTTTAATGCAAATTACGAGATGTATTGTAAAATGACTATCTGCACAAGATAACGTTGCGCCAGATAATTATTTTTACAAATAAGAAACTAAATATACGGATAAAAACATTTTGAAACTTTATAAAAATTCAAAGATATCTTGTGCGATATTACTTTGAAAGATTATTTAGAGTAAAAACAAAAATACATGTATGTGTGTCAAGTCGATTATAATAAAAGAAATAAATCTAATTTACAAGTGCGGTAGTATATAGAATTCAAAAAACGTTCTTACTGTCTCGTAATAAATCAATTTGTGTGATTTACCGTAATAGCATTGAACTTTAACAAGTTTGCGAAGCAAATACGTACTAATACACGCTTCAGTCTCTTCAATTTTTCGACGCATATTCAGTCTTGTATAAGGCAGAAAGAGTAGTGATGTTATTGAGACGTATCAAAGATGAATTCGAATCTTTGCGTCTACTTTGAGAAAAAAAAAATAAAAATATATATATAATCTGTTTAGAAAAAATTTTATTTAAGCCGCCCCTTGGACGGAAACATAATCTTCCTCTCGTAACGATATTCAACTCTCCATATTTTTTTTTCTATCTTCTTATTTTAAAAGTCGAGCACGATAGGGAAATGGAGAGTGGAAAAAACTTAACTATAATCGCCGCAATCACTGTTCGGCCCAGTTTCTTGCGGTTCGTCCTTGACCGTGTCCGACGTTAGCCTTATCACTGGAACATCGGACTTACGGTTCACCGATAGATCTTCCACTTCATCTTCGACGTTCTGTTGTTGCTTTTGTTTAGGGCAGCGTATAACCGGACTTGTGCTGTAGCGTGCCGAATCAGACATCGAATCGTGATCCTGTGACGTATCCTTTGACGTTTTATAAGCGACATCGTACGTGTTTGCGCTCGATGGACTAATAGACAAGTGCTCAAAGTTATTGAGATTGCCGCTATTTTCGTTCTCGTTTTTGGATAACATGCTGCCACTGTAAATCCTGCCGTTCACATTAGCACCGACATCGAATGGGAAAGAAGCCGCGCTATCGCCGTTGCTTGTTGAACGCTTGAGTGGTCGCGATGTCGGGATGCCGAGCTTCTTCACCTTGTCGTAAAGCGTACGGGATGGTACGTTGTACATGCGTGCCGCTTGCACGGCGCTCATGCCTCTCTTTACCGCCTCGATCGCTCCCTGGATATCATCTCGGGTGTATTGCTTGTATCGTTTCCATTCGGGTTTTGATTGTGCATGAGTCCCGTTACCTAACAGAAACAAAAGAATTATTTGTAAATTAATGTATTTATCATGAGAATTTTTCTTCAAAGTTCAAGGAGGAAGTCTTCCTCTTCAACAGAGAGTCACGTGTAAATTTCGGATATATTGAGATATATTTCACAGTATAATTTTATAAAAGCCTATTAATGTACAATTTGAAAAGCCTACCTGACTTGATATTTGTGGTGTGCGATTGCGACGATGGCCGTTTCTCATCCTCATCCACGGAAGGCTCCGTGTGAGAGGAGTGAGCCGTCTCGTTATGAGCCGAATCGATGTTGCCGCGATGATTGTCGTCGTTTGCAGAGCCGTTGCTGCTGGAGCGAAGATGCATCGGCTCGTGATTGTCAGATTGCAACATCGATGTACCCAAGGAACTGTCAGCGTGACTCTGACCGAGGACGGTGCGCAGTATCGGTGTGTCGTGATTCGGCGGGTTCAAGAGCGACGTCTTCTTGCGTTTGAGCGATTCGGTGAAGCCGTCGTAGGAGGAAGAACCACCATTTCCGCTGAGAGCCGAGGGAAGAATAGAAGAGGAGCGCGGCGATAACTGGTGATGCAATAAGGAGGGCAGCGACCAATATGGAAATTGATTCTGCATTTGATTGAAGTCCGAGGTCGTTCCCGAGGTCGTTCCCGAGGTCCTTCCCTTGTTGTAGAGACCACCGTAGATACCATCGGTGGAGTGCGGCGGTGACATATGACCGCTGCTGTGCACCGCCATATTAGTGGCATTGGTACTGGTGCTGATGGCCGGCGGTGGTGACAAGGACGTCTCCATCATATCTTCATGCCGATGAAAATCGTTTTGCGAGAACCGTCCGCCAACGTTGTCATCGTACTCCACCAGACCCTTGATCTGCAGCATCTGCGCGATCTTGAGCAAGTTCTTCAGCTGATCGTGCTGCACATTCACCTCGCCACGGTATATGTACTCCAATATCGCCCTTAGCTCCGAATATTTAACGTCCTTGAGGATGATCGTGGGGTGCAGGCACGGCAGAGCGATGAACAGAGACTGGAAGTAGGACGAGCATGCCGCTAGGACGATCTTGTGGCACTTGACGATCTGACCGTTATCCGCGACGAGGGATACATCGGTGAACGCCTCGGTTTGCAGAAGGTCCTCGAAGACGGACAGCAGGTTCGACCGATGATTATTCCAGCGAAGACAATATTTTTGAGCCGAGGTCATGTCGTCCGTCATAATTATTCCTCTTCGTGTAGAGTCTATGAGAAAAAAGATGTACGTCTTTATCGTTCACTTGAGGCGCAGTGAGATGTTCACGGTACGAATTTTCCTTTTCGACTGACACGGACTCTTCCGATATCGCCTTAAAATAGCCAAGTTTCAAAGGTTTCAAAACCCCCTCTCCGGAAAAATTATCAATTTTTCGTCATCTTTTTTGATCAAAGTTTGCTCAGCGATAAGGACTAAGGGACCGGGCTAAATGTCAAATACGTGTTTACTTAGGTATTTTCTCGCTATTTATATATCTCAAAAGTACGTTTTCTCTAGCCAGAAGCTATATTAATATGAATACCATTTCTATAGTTGATTTGTGTTATTAGGATTAAGCATATGTTTTGATGTTTTAAAAGTAATTAAGAGTGAAACCTTTTATTTTGCAATGCAAATAGATTTAATGTTATAGAAATCGTGGAAAAATTTGCTGCGCTATAAAAAAAATCAAGCTTGCACATTTATATAAAAAAAATTTATAACTTTATCTCTTTCTTTAATTATTTCTACTATTAATATATAAATCTGTAAATTCTGAATAAAATTCTCTTTCTCTGAAATATAATTTGATCGAAAAAAATTTGTAAGATAGTTATACACGATCCTCAATTATATTTTTTAAACGTCTAATAGATATCCACTATTATTTAACTAAAAAAAGTTTATAATAAAATATATAAGAAAAAAAGTTTATAATAAAATATATAAGAAATTATTTATAATTTTTATATATAATTATTATATATAATTATTATATATAGTTAATATATAATATTTATATATAATTTTTAATAGAATATATCTATATATATTTATATAAATTGAAAAATGTGATACAATCATTATGTACAAAGCACAGCCGATTATTGTAAATATTCTGTTTTTTTTTCTCGCTTGAGAATTTACTTTGATTAATCATTCGAATACTTTAGCTTCGAAGCTACTTTCCAAACTCGCGGAGAATTTACACGGCGAAGATTACGTGTCACATTCTAAAGTTTTAAAATGATTAATAAAGAGAAATTCACATAATAGACAAATTAAATAAAAACCCTGTGTCAAGAATCGCAAAATGTCTGCATTAAAATTAAATTATGCATAATCTATAAAATTCAGAAAAATATAAATCCATAAATTCGAAAAGAAATTACACGTCAATAATTGAACTCAATTGACTTTTCCTAAATTCTTATTTTTGCGATAAGCGACGATAATCGAGTAATGATATCTCATGACTCATCGAGATGCAAGTGAAATTTTTTTTATTTTTTTTAGGCTAATACACAGGATATTTCTCAATATGCGATAACATATTATGTGATAAATTCATAGCACGCACAATCGAAAGGAATTCACGTGAAACCTTTTCACCTTATTTGGAAATGATTGTGATCTCTGTTTTTCTTATCGCCACTGAACTATTATAACTGAAAGAGATATGTGTATTTCCCTATTTATAAATAATATTTTATGCTTCGTAAATGATTCATACGTCATGTACAAATTGCCGACTGTTCGTGAACATTTTCTATCTTTTATAAATGCTCAAGATTCAGTTACATGTGACAAAAACATTAATATCGAAAATTTCTACAGTTTTATAATAAAATTACTCGGAGAGAAATAAAATGAGATTACATAAATGACAGATCAAAATGGATTCAATATTTCATTAAAGACTCGCGAATATTGTATGAACGTCACTTTGTTATTTTCGTACATTTACATTTAATAAACTATCAATGTACTAGAAAAAATCTCGTATCTAATACTTCAATAAATATGATATATAAGAGAAAATTTAAAAAAAGCAAAATGTATCGCTCGTTATATATTTCTATGTTATATTTTTTATTTTATTACTCTCTATTATATATATTATGTTATTACTCTGTAATTATTATATATATTATTTTATTGCTCTATAATTATTATATATATTATGTTATTACTCTAATAAATATTTTACATGTTTATTTAAAACAATTTTACCTATATTTTAATTTTGTGGATATTATTTTCTCTAGGTTCGATTTTTTAGATTTATTTGTCGCAAACTCTTCGTTTTTCCAATTTTTTATTGCCCCCGATTAAAAGGTTGAACGAACGAAATAGTGAAAATAAACCGATCTTTTTACGATTGGGGTGCGATCGCGTCATCAGGGGTAAGCAGTTGCTATTTGCATTTCTCGCGAGAGGTGAATCATCGCGCTCTCATCGAGGCTTTTCACGTTCATTTCGATCGACCCGGTAATCATCGAGGCTAATCGATAAGAACTTGGGTGTACCACATGTTGCACAAGTATCTTTAACGATAGCTTTAATTGGGCATTTGTTTTATTTTGAAGTCGCAGACACAATCTCGACCACTGTTCGCTAAACAAATATAAAAGACGAAGACGAAAAAGGAAATGGATAAATGATAAAAGCGATAAAGTAGCAACTCGATCCAAGTTCGAGAGAGAAAGAGATAGTCATAAATAATATAATTCCCGATAATAATATATTTCCCGATATTTTCAAGTTATAAGTAGCGGAAAAGTAAATATCTTTTCCAGACAACTAGATAACACAGTGACATTAGCCAAATGTATAGATACGATATCAATCTAATGCTTACCTTAATTTAGCTCTAAGAACAATTGCCGGATATAAGTCTTCGTTCCCCGAGATTTGATTGTCCTGATATATCTCTCTTTCGCTCTCTGAATATTTATAAAAAAAAATGTTTACATTACAATTTTATATCTTACAGTTATGCTTTAAAGGCATTAAAAAGGAAGCTCGTTTAATCTTAAATATTCTTTGCACACTTTTCAAATTAAATCGAATTAATTTTCACTCATGTCCTGCGAGTCGAATTATTTAAAAACGAAAAAAAAAAAGAAATACATGTCATTCAACTCGAACACTTTGCGATGTTGCTTGCAAACAATTCAATAAAATCGAGAAAGGCGGCGAAAAACGTGTCTGTTAATATCGCGATTTCCGCTCTTTCGGTCATCGACCTTTTATCTCCCGATTATATCGTTGATGTATAATCGCGATGATTTTCTCGCGTTTCAGTCTAATCTAGCGAATGCGATAAAAAAATACATATACACATTAGGACGCGCTGTCTCTCTCTTTCTTCCCATATATTTATTACGCATGCATCCGCGATAAAAAAATACATGTATACATTTAGGACGCGCAGTCTCTCTCTTGCTTCCCATATATTTATTACGCGTGTATCCGCGATAAAAAAATACACGCATACATTTAGGATGCGCTGTCTCTCTCTTGCTTCCCGTATATTTATTACGCGTGTATCCGCGATAAAAAAATACACGTATACATTTAGGATGCGCTGTCTCTCTCTTTCTTCCGCATATTTATTACGCGCGCATCTCTTCGCATGACGCACACACACAGGAATCTCACGGCGTCACACATACACGAAGGGGTCGCGCGCACTCTTCACGTACCACTTTTCCAACCCCTCGTCGTTTGCCCGCACCGCCGCCAGGGTGCCAGCGACGGGAGGCACTCGCGCGGTCAAGATCCTCCGGAGGGAGTTCCGTTTCGAAACGAGGAAGACCTCTCTTCCTGAGCGTCGCTCGACGACCACTGACGCCGACCAACTTGGGCTAACTGCACCACGCACTACGCTGCGCCCCACGCTGTCGAGCCCGCACGAATCGGCCCGTCTCAGCGGGCTGGTATTCGTCACACGGTGCTGGTCACAAGGGTGGTGAGCGTCCGTGAGCTTTTTCGGTGTCGTGGATAGGGCGCAGTGGCGTAAGGCCCTTGTAAAGGCCACGGCCGTGGCCCTGCGTCCGAAGTTCAATGTAATTTCTAATCGAAAAGATTCGAAGAGAGAGAAGTCCAATATCACCTTTGGCCGTGCGACATTTTTTAAACATATTAATTGACCGCGGAATAGAAGGTTTCTGAAGATTCAGCAAATTATTATCCCGCAGCTAATCAGTGCGCTTAAAATATTTGTACGACAAATGTAATATTAGCCTAACAATAAGCTCATGTTACATTTGTAATATTACATTTGTTACGACAAATTTTTTGAGCATTAGTTGACTGCAGAATAGAAAGTTTCTAAAGATTCGAAAAATTATTATCCCGCAGCCGATCAGTGTGCTTAAAGAATTTGTCGTATGACAAATATAATATTAGCCTAATGTACGAGAATCGGAAACAACAATTTTGGGGGCGTTCATGAACATTGGAAGAATATCTATTTTTTTTTCAATCGATCGAGATTTACAGCCTTTCTCGTCGAAATCACTCCTGACGGTCGCTCAAAATAACGGGACGTTTTTTAAAAAGATCGAGAAGAAAGGTTCGCTGTGTCTCATGCGGCCCTTCAAGGTTGAACAGTAAATGGGATAACAAAAATTATTGCATTCGTAATATATGTTTAGACAGCAGCAACTTTGTTATAATGTTTGAATATTCTTTTGAGAATAAAAAGAAATCGATAGTATTGTTTTACTGGATGTTCAAATATGTATCCCCGAAATTTTGCGAGATAAAAATCCGCTTCAATTAAAAAATATACCCTCAATGCACGAAAATTCTCTTTAGAAAAAAATAAAAGCTCTATATGCCTATGCAATTTTGCTGTGCAAAATATTAAACAAATTTGTCCCATCATTATAACGCTGAATATAATTTAAATATTTAAGCATATATAATATATATTTTTTTATATATTGTAATATAAAATAAAATAGAATAATATAAATAATAATAATATAAAAAATAATATAAAATAAAATATAAAAATATAAAATAATATAAAATAATATAAAATAAAATATAATAATATAAAATATTATAAAATAATAGAATAGTGTAATGAATATCTCGCATAAATATAAAGAGCTAATGACGAATAAAGAACAAGGTTACAAGTATGCGATTTGAACGGATCGTAATGCAATTTTTTTTAATCTCCCGTGAAATTTTCGCGACTTTCGCTCATCGCAATCACCCGTTTTCCGCGCGAGCGCAATTACGCACGCGACTTGGGAAAATTTGTCAAACTTACGCCATTGTGCGTACGTGAATATGTGATAGTGAAGCATTTCGGCGCATCACACGCGTGCACGCGGATCACGCATAACACTCGCGTACCCGCCGTCGCCGTCACTATTCGCCTATATGCTCGCACTATCGGCCAATCACGCGGCTCCTAGGCCAATATCCTGCGGGATATATCACGCGCACATGGATGCGTGAGTGCGTGTTTACACACGGCGATGCGTGGCGACCGTATCCCGCACCCACGTCGCCTTCCCCGTCCGATCTAGCCGTGATACGCACACATGGCAACGCCCGCGCGCATGCGAGCGCGCGAAGAAACGACGAGGGGAAGATCGTGGAGGAGAAAAAGAAAGATGAGAGAAATGCGCTTAAGCGAGTGTACGTTCACGAAAATTGCGACCACGCCCAAATCCTACGATGCATCCGCCGTTGGCGTTCTGCGTGCGTGCGTGTGTAATTTCGGCGCGTAGCCCTCGGCAACACGCACGTCGACCCCACGCACGTATACACAGGAAGAGCCCTACACGAATTGGGTAACGTTACCATGCGGGGGATGAAGGTACGCGCTTCGAATATCGTGAGAAAATCGCAAAGTTCTGGGGAAAAAAGGGAAGGAATACGCTGCGGAAACACGGACGGAAAAGTCGGGCTCGGTCTTAATTAGCTCGTCGATCCGTTAATCGTGCGCAGGGAAAAATATTCTATCTTTGTCAAGAAAAGTGATTACTCGGTTTATTTTTCTTTTTTTTTTTTAAGTAATAGTTTTCTCCAACAAAGAATTTATTCTTGATAATAGTCTCAAAATATACTCATCACGAGTGTTAGAAAATCTCATTATCATGTATTCGAAAGAAGAATTTTCTCTTCAAGAAATAATTTTTGTAAAGAAATAATTATCGCAAAGTTGTATATATCAAAGAAAAATCAAACTTACTTTACATCAACTCTTTGTAATAAGCAAACCAAATTTTTGTTTTGATTTAATGTTCCTGATTAAAATACTGCACTTATTAAAATTTAGAATATATTCAATTAAATTTAATGCTTGTGGTGAACTTGTGATACAAATTTATGATATACTTAAAATAAATAATATTTACTTGAATACAAAAAATTTGACGTGATAAAAATTAATTTGTTACAAAAAAAGGGAAGACAGACACGCAAATCTACAACTGAGCTGACGTTTTCTCTTATTGTTAGCAAAATGTCGAGGAAAATCGTGATTTATCACGTAAGCCTTCAGGTTTACCCTTCAGGTAAATAAATAAATAAATATCCTAAATAAATATGAAAATTTAGAAGAAAAATCCGTTATATTTGTATTAAATAGTTACATTTTAGATTTTTAAAATAGATTTATAACGTAGTCGTAAAATATACGAGTATTTACAGACTTTTGCATCTCGAAATTTCGTCATTTATCTAATAATTGAATGCTGACGTTGCGAAAGAAACGGCAATTAACGGATCGATGCGAGAAATATCTGAGCATTATTTGAAATCTCATTTGCTAAGAATGTCGCTTTCCACTCGATTCTGCCTATGCGCGCCGAGGAAATAGCCGAAAATATGCGGCTTGATTTCTCTTATCTCGTCGAGCGAGTCTAAAAACGAAGAAAAGAGCGACGATAAACGAACGCTGGTCGAAGAAAAATCGCCTCCACAAACATGCCTGCAAGTTAATGTTGTGTGCGTATGCGCGCGCGCGCGCGCGCGCGTGTGTGTGTCGCTTGTGGGTGAACGTGTGCGTTTCCCTTTACGCAACGACGTCGACTATGATGACGATTTTGTAGAGGGGACCGAAAGGACGAAGACAACGATATCGAGAAGAAAGAAAGAGAGAGAAGGAGAGAAGGAATGCCGCGATGGCAAGGTAAAGAGTCCTCTGTTGCGCCATCGGAAAAAAATCTACCTATATTCGGAGGTGGCACAGGCAGATGCGTATGCGGGCTGACAACAATTGGGGTGCATAAGGGTCGAGTATGATCCACCGCAGGGTGCATCTTTCATATTTTCACCGTGACGCGTCCCAGCGATCGCGAATTAGGATTATAATATTCATATGGTCGTGTAGCGATTACAATCTATTTTCGTCTATTTCGAGTCTATCTTCTATTTTTGTCATTAGTAAAAATATAAGATAACGCTTTTAATGACTCAACTTGATAAGTTCTCTAATTGAGCTGCAGTTTTCTTTTATTGCTAGCAAAATGTGTCGAAGAAAGTCGTGATTCATCGCAAAAATTTCCGATCAGATATCTTTTTTCTAAGTTAAAATTTATCATATATTTATTTTAAGAATTTATATAAATTCCTAAAATAAATATGAAAATTTAGAAGAAAAATTCATTATATTTGTATTGAATAGAATTACATTATTTTAGATTTTAAAATAGATTTATAATATTATTATTGAAAATTAATATTTTTAGAATGAAAGATGTAATCTTTTTATTTATTCGATCTCTTAAAGTTCATCTCGCGAAAAGCTCTTTCCATTTTTTCTTTTAACTCGAAAATTATATTGTTAATGTTTGGACGATTAATGAGAAAAAAATCTACTCTGAAAACTTGCATAAAAGTGGCTATTGAAGAAATTGATTTTATGATCGTATTACTATTATATAAAATCGAGATTAAAAATGTCTACGTTTATTATTTATTTATTGTTGGATATAAATATTTTCCCCATTAAAAAATTAAGGCATCTATTAACGTGAACTTCCTATAGACATTTTTTTCCTTTTCATTAATATTTTTTTATAAGAAAAATATGTGTCGCATAGAGAAATATTGAAATTAAAAATGTCTACATTTATTTATTTACTGTTGAATAAAAATATTCTCTTCGTCGGAAAGTTAATGCATCTATTAACGCGAGCTTTCTATGCATATTTTTCTTTTCCTTCCCGTGAATATTTTTTTACAAGGAAAATATTTATGTATTTTATATCTGAAAATGAGATTTTCAGAGGAAAGTAGCTTTCACGTACAGCAAACTAGCAATCGGCAACATATACGAAGAGCATCATCGAGCGATAAGAAACGTTAGAAACGTTGCATTATCGCGACAGGCGATAGAAAAACGGAACATCGATTGTTTGCTTTATCGAGACTGCTCGACTGCTCGACTAGACTGATAGTGTTTTCATGATTGCGTATCTTCTGTGAACGCGCAATGGCTAGGCGAACCCTAACCATATGTAACCTTTGGTTTGTCGCAACTGTGCATACTATTTCGTACAATAAATGCATTAATGTACAAACGCGATCGATATACCTTTACGCTTTAACTAATGCATAGCTTCTTACATTATCTCGAATAAAGAGAAAGTCCAATTATCGCGTGAGGATTAAGTACAATTTTTATTTGAACAAAGACTGAAATATTTCTGTGTAAATAATATGAGAGATACGAAAAATATTTTTGTCATACGTTTTAATTTTAATCATATTTTATAAAATGTTATAATTATCTAGGAAATTCTTAACGAAAATTGAAGTCTCGATAATGCATATTTCTCATGAAATCTAAAGCATATTTTTATGGGAAAAATTATCGAAGCGCTAAATATGAGTTTTTGTGCTTTCTAATTTTTTTGTATTATTATAAAATAATACAAAAGCACAGTAAATTTTTACACTTCTAATTCTGATATAATTCTTCCGTTAATAAAATCAA